CTCTGGAGACACAAATCCACAGTTTGAAAACTGAAGCTAAGCATCACAGAGATGCTTAATGGGATCTTCCAGGCCATGGTTTCTCAGCCTATGGGGTCAGGACCCAAAAGTGGGTCACAAGAATATATGAAAGGGTTGCAAACAAACTTTAAAAATGGATTCTCCTTTAAAGGAGAAAAACGTGAGGAACTACAGGTTAGGTTTTCCCTTGCAGGCTGATAGAGTTCCAGCCTGGAAGGGGCTGCTTGGGGTCCCCCCATGACCTCCACACACCCTCCCCCTGGCCCACGCACTGGGGGGCGGGCACTATAGGGGCACTGAGTCGGGACTGCTCATTATTGTTTACAAATGGATCCTGGTACAAAAAAGGTTGAGAACCACTGTTCTAGACTGAGCACTGAGTCTCAGTGGGTAGCATGGTTTTCTTCAATTTTTACTAATCTATAAAGGAGCCTCTAAAAACCCCTAAGATTAGGTCCTTAATATAGTCCATGGCCTGTTGTGATCTATGTATACATTTTTTCTAAAAAAGTTACATGAACAGTATTCTCTCATATATTATATAATTAGAAGTCGTAATCCCTATTCTATGATGATATTTTTGAGCTCTAACATATCTTACATTAAAACTATCTTTATATAGTTTTTTTAAAAGCATCTTAACAAAAAGTAAAAAAATATGATTAAATTTTAAAAATCTGATTTAAATCAAACATTTGAATTTTTTATTATTTTTTTTAAATAATTGATTTTTATCCACTCTGACTGTCAGAAAAAGTACTTGCCTAAGACAAGGAAGCAACTCTGTACTTGGTCCAGGTAAAACGTGGATGTGTGTGGAACCAAGCTCAGCTAAGCAGCACAGCAAGAATTAGCTGACCTTGGCTCACAAAGGTTTGTGAAAACACAGCCTTGTCTCTGCTTTAAAACCTGTAGTATACCTGCTTCACTAAAGTGAAACAGATGAAATCATTTAAAAGAATTTTGGTTGTTCCCTGTATACACAGGAAATCTTCCCCTTTGGCATAAATCCTTTACTTGTTTTCTGATATTTATAATAGATTACCTCTTGTGCTCAGGGTAGTAAGGAAAGAGTCTCTTATTCTTGGATGCCAAAAGGCCTTTGTTTATTGCAAAATGACCTGGATAGTTTGTTAGACTAAATATACTTTTAATTTGACTTATCACATTTACCATATTGTCTCACATGTAGCACACACCATTCCCCCAAAACTAGCTGATGAATACAAGGGTGTGCATTTTATGTGAGGAAATACAGCTCCCCATGGGTCTGGAAATGTGACAGTGGGGGAGCAGCGGCAGCATTAATAAACCTATGCGGAGCCTTTGGGCTGGATGACGTGGCTCCCTCCTCCTGGATCTAGTGCTTGGCCCCCAGACCTGGCATGTCAAATTGGGCTGGCACTTCACCGGCTACATCCCATGCATGGGGCTTGCAGCAGGCTCAGGAGCAGGTTTAGCTACTGCTACGCAATTACTTACACAAGATCAGCTTGTTTTTCCCCATCCTGCCTTTTCAAAAATAGCGGGCATGTTATATATGAGAAAATGGGGTATTACATACAGGGCGCGTCTACATGTGCCCCCATGGCACAGTTGTTACTGTGTCATTTAGTACTGGTTTTAGGAAGTACTAAATGACAGTGTAGTAACAGCTGTTACTGCACCGTCCTGGCAGCACATTTGTTTTCAGCAGCTATGTCGTTGTAGCAGTGCACTATAGTGAGGTAGTTCATTGCTATGGCGATGCAGCATTGGCATCACAGTTTGTGCCCACTGACGCTATATTGCTGTAGCATCTCGCTACAGCAACGTAGCATCTCATTTAGATGCTCCCACAGTTTTCTGCACTCTTTAAAGTGATTAGGTTTCATGTAGTGTCCTTTCTTTCTGGTATAACAATTAGGTAAACAAGCTAAATAAGCATTTAAGAGGACCAACACCTAAGAACATGCAATTAATTAACAAGACTGCATTTGCATTTCCCTCCCCTGAACAGAAGCAGCAGTTTGAGCCTTGAATGATAATAACTAGATAAACATATATAACACTTTGTGTGGTAGACTGTGTGCTTGAAAAATGAGAGTGGTAACAGTCCTTAAACTTGCTAGCATTCCAAAAGATCTAAGAAATGAGCTCCCTGCCAATGCACGCACCCCCGGGGGAGGGATGGGGGGCATGTGCCCGCTGGAGTTGTGCACAAGGCGAGAGTGGGCTGCTCACTGCAGGCTTGCGGCCAGGGGCTGCTCTGGCCTCTTCCCAGTGGGAGGGCAGACGGCAGCAGCACTGGGAGGAGGGTGTATGGGGGGGGCTACAGTGAATTTTGGGGTGGCTGTAGCCCACCCTATAGTAGCACCCCCCTTAGTGCCACCTGCCTTGGCCCAGCCCCCACCCTGGCCCCCGCTGGGAAGAGGCTGGCACAGCCCCTGGCCCCAAGCCCGCAGCAGGCAGCCCACCCTCACCCCACACACAAATCCGGAGGGCACATATTCCCCCCCATGTCTCCCTCAGGGTGCGTGCAGTGGTGGGGAGCTGCCCCACCCCCTGCACTCCCTGGATGAGCCACCCATGGCTCTGTCCTGTGCCCTGCTCTGCCTGGACAGCCCCTTCCCCTACCCCAGCCCCACTCCCTCACTGTGGGGGGGTTTGATCTGTCCCTTCCCTCCCACAGACTTACCTTCCGGGCTCTCCAAGCTGCCAGGATGCCTTCCTGGCCATGTGCATGCTGTGCCTGTGCACGTGCACACAGCATTAATCAGCGACATTATCGGCTACGGCAGCCAAAAAAAGCCAATTGCTGATAATGTCAGTTTTTCTTTTATTGGTGCCAATCTGATATATTGGTGCATCTCTATATTTTAACTCTGGCTGTAGAACTTATTTTACCTCATTGCTTTTAGAAGTTCTGTTTTTTAGGGAACAGAACTGTCTTTTTTTTCCCCACTATGTGGGGCATTTTGAAACTACAAGAAGTAACAAAGCAGAGAAAAAGCAATGTGTAGAGACAGTCTATTGGGAGTAGTTCAGCAGAAGCTATGACCTTTATGCCAAAGGCTGTGGTAGGAAATGGAGCCTCGTACTAGTGTAGAGTCATCTTGTCAAGAATAATGATAATATACAAATAGAAATAAGCATAAGAGATTCCTAAACTCTAATTGGTGTATGTTCCTCATTTCCAATATGAAAAGGAGCTAAAAGCAGATTAAATATTTTCTAATATTTCTTTTCAATGTAAATAATTGCTGGGATCCATTCTGGAATAGTACAGCAGTCTGGTGTATAATAAATTCACAGGTGTTCTTTCTAAGAGTATTCAAGCTCTTTTCAGGAGCAGCCTTTGTAAAACTGGGTACGGGTTGGCAGATCTTTTTCTGTTTTTATGTAACAGTTATTGGAGGGTGCATCACGTAACCAGATAGATCTAAAAATCAGCAAAAATTCCAAGAGTAATCTGAGGGTCAACTCTAAATTGACTACTAATGGTGTGTGGTAATTATAGGACTGATTTTATTTTTTTCCTCCTCTAACGAGCAGTGTTTTACATTTTTTCTACGCTTGTGAGAACCCCATTGAATTGAGACTAGAAATGATATACTTCCTTTTAGACTAAATGTTTTGCCTATGATGCGACCAGCCTTGAAGCGTACCAGGATTGTCTTGTACAAGACATTTTGAGAAATAAAAAGTAGGAAGCTTACTGTAATCCACCCTCCCTAACAATACTTTACATCTACAACGTGCTTAGAGTTTTAGTAAACAGGGTGGAAATTAGCTTTGCCTTCAAGGGGCTCACAATCTGAATGAGACAGAGAGAGTGCTGTCTGTAATTGCTTTCTGTAGTATGTTCTCTCTCGTCTAGTCCAGATTATTGAAGTTATCCATTCTTTTATCTTTTTTTATTTTTCCAGGTGTCATTTTCTCATGACTTGAATTCTTTTCATCCATCTTCCTACTGCCTGTGGCAATGGGGAAAAATAGGGTAGTCTAGAATTATTTTTTCCATTTTCCCTTTAAATGAAATTGCCCTAAATACTTCCTGCTGTGAAGGCAAGCTTTTTGATCCTGGCAGAATTTAATGGATTGACCCAAACACCAACTCCATAAGGAAAATACCACCTAACCAGCTGTATATTTAATTGCTTGAAAATATACAAAGTTGGCAATTAGCTGTACAGAAAATTGCTTCATCTAGTCTAAGATGTCAGTTTAGATTAGTGGATCTCAAACTTTTTAGACTCAAGGCACTCTTCTTTAGACTCAGGGAACCTCTTGGAAAATGTCAGCTCTTAGTTTTCACTTATTTTTTGTTTATGAAAAATCAATAAAAAATAATAGAGCAATTCTTCTGTTGCAAAGAACTCAGACCACAATAGATCAGAGTGTTTTTGGTGCTCTGTATTCTGTTTGAAATCTCTGGGTTTATCTTGTGATTCATGCAGGTGTTTGAACACCTAACAGTGCTAATATTGAGTAGTACCCAGTGGCACCCTTAAAAGGATCTCACATCACCCCTGTGGGTTATATCACCCTGGTTGAGAATCACTGGTTTCGATAGTGTGTAAGACTGTAAAGGTATAGTAAATGTTCTGCAAGTGCTGCTGTTTTCAAGGAAGTGTGCTACATGTTGTAGCAACTTGAGGCTACATCTTGCTCATCTTAAGCAAATAAGAATGGACAAGGCAATGTTTGGTGATGTTTGGTCCCTTTGCTCTCATCTGAAACTTCTGTGTCTAGCTGAAAATGTATAGGCATGAACCAAAAGTTTCACAGAAATGGTCCCTGAAGCTGAATCTTCTTGAGGGAGCTGAGGGTACATTTAGTTACTATTTATAAAAAGAAAAATATTATGAAAACCTTTCTAATATTCATCATTGGAAAGTGTTTTAAAAATGTTTTATATCTTGAGATGAACTGCAATTATTCAGTGTAGCAGAAGTGTTAAACAAAGAGTACTGATTCAGTATTTTTCCCCTTCGCAGCCAGAGTTGGGAAGACATCGCTTATTATGTCTCTTGTCAGTGAAGAATTTCCAGAAGAGGTAGGAAATCCCTGTTTGTCCTCTAGGTTGTGCTTCTACCTTAAAAAGCTACTTTTTGAATAACTAAAATTTACTTGCTAGTTATAAATTAAGATTAGTGGATTTATCATTTCAAATCTACGTTTTTATTGTTAATGGAAATGTTTTTCAAAACTGGAGCTATTCAAGGTGATAATGGCTGTCCTGGAAGAGTGATTAAAATTGATTAGACATATTTCTGTATGAAAAAGGAATTATAACTACGTTGCTTATTTTTGCTAATTATTTTCCTATACTTAATTAAACTTGCATTTGTTCTTCATGTTCTTCAAGTGTTAGTCCTATAAAAAGCTATCAAATGATATAGATTAGAAGTAAGAAATAATGAAAAATTGTGTGAGAAAGGGAGAGGCACTTAGGTGGGTTTCTTTAAAGCAGTTGTGCACATACAAATGGATGCATCTAATATAAATGTGTGAGGAATAAAATACTTATCAAACTGCATAGCTCTTGCAATCGTAGAAAATGAGCATTTAAGTAAGAATGCCTGTGTATTGAATTTTTTTTTTTGTGCTTTGCTAGCTGAATCATATTTTATAGCCCTGTGGATATAAATAATTGTATCACTCTTTCTCAGAAAAAATGAAGAAATAACTTGGTTTTATTGGTTAGGGACTAGGTAACACTAAACCATTTATCTGGTTATTCTTTGTAAAAGACAGCAGAGGACACCATTTGCAGTATCCTATCTTTAGCACCAGCTATAGTTGTTTTACTGATGTGTTTTAAAAGGAAAGTTTTGATACCTATTAAAATTAATATTTAAACTTGGGAACACAGGGCTTGAAACCACAAAGCACAAGTATTTGCTGTTTAAAACTATGCTGCCTTTTATTTCCTAACATAACACAGTATGTGCCCACGGTTTGAGAGCAAGATTACATGTGATTGCATTACTGATATTGCTATTAGTCCTTGCCTGTTCAGATGTTCTTTTGGTGTGATTATGTGATGATTACTCTGAACAGGTGAAGTGTTGTATTCACTTCTCTACTCTTTGCATGTTATATAGTATAGTACACTCCAGTAAGTACATGCTGGAGGAAAATTATTTACTGTCAGCATGACAGTGTAGTTGTTCTGTCTGTAAAGAAAACTTCCAATCTGATTGTATTAAACAAAACATCAGAAAAACCTGTAAGAATCCTACGTACCTTTGATATGTGGTTCAGATCTGCATATAAGTATCTTTACCAGGCATTGGTCACTGGATGGCCGGCCCGTCTCGTGCACAAGGTGGTGCCATAGTCATTCTGGTTAAACATGTCACTAAGGTATGCAACTTTACAGAGAGGCATTATCTGGGCAGTTAGGCTCATTAAAAAAGATGAAAGATTTTGGCGAGCAAAAAGAGCAGTTCATCTCCTATGAACGTAAATTTGATGGTACCTTCGTGTTGCATTTTACATTTTGAAGAAATATGAATTAGTGCTCCTTTGTGATTTGCAAAACATCATGGCTAATTCACAAGATTATGTAATGGATTAATTTTTATGAGTATAATTGTTTGGTTGCTCCTAGACTTAATATTTAGTAGAATATATCAAAGGAAAGAATCTTTCATAAGTTTAGACTGCGTGGAAACTGAAGTTTGAGTATGCATCATCATGTTAGAGAAGCTTCCTGTTGTATAGAAAAGTTGAATAGTTTTTATTGATCCAATCTCCTGCTTTCGAGGCAGTGAAAACCTTGGTATTGATTTCAGTGGGAGCAGGATTAGACCAAAAAAGTCTTTGCTGCACAAATTAAAATGACTTTGACAGTATTTTTATTTTGTGACTATCTTCATATAGATGACTAGTTTTTATTGTTGCTTCTTTAGAAATGAATGTAAAGCTATACCTCATTAATAATTTGAAATAAAAAATAACCACTGTATAGAATATGCTTAAATATAGCATTTTGGGAGTAATAAGAGTTGCTAGTTAAATATACTGTAACTGAACTACTTTTATTTACAATTTATACTTCATTTTATCTCTTCATTTTATCTCTGCACTGGAATAATGATTCCTTTGATGTACTGGGTTTGAGGTTTATTGAGACCTGTTATGAGTCTCAATAACAGTACTTTCTGGTAAAACATTTACAAAATTCCTTGCATGGAGAATGCTGTACAACAAAGTTTCAGTGACCTTCAAACCAATTCTGCAAAATTTGAGAGAGAGCAACCAAGTTCTGCAAAATTTAACAATGCTGATAATACTGTTCAAAGCCACCTAATTCATGGAGGAATTGTAAATACTGTATGTCTTTGATTGTTACTGGATGCTCAGTGTCGTGGTTTATTAGGTTTTTATAAAAATGTTTCTCTTTTGCTGTTTATTCACAAACCAAGGTTCCTCCACGTGCAGAAGAAATCACCATCCCAGCTGATGTTACCCCTGAGAGAGTGCCAACCCACATAGTGGATTATTCAGGTAATGGCTGTGCAATCCACATGACCTATGCCACTTTGTGGCATTGCTTATCCTGTAAACAATATAAAACATGTTATATATTAGCCTCATCAAATGATGTCAGCCTGTGCCAAGAGCCGGAAAAGGGATTTTTATTTCAGCGTAGTTTTTATATAGGATAGTGGTGAATCAAAGACAGGGCCTCAAGTTTTTTCATCTTTCTTATTTTTTTGATGGTGTCTTTAATTAGTTCCCAGCTTAGTTCAAAGAAGTACTGATTTCTTCATGAGGTTTTAAGCTTGTATCCATGGATTTTCTGTTTTAATATATAAAATGCCCAACATATGGAACTAACCTAAGTTTTGCTGTGCAAAGAAATGGAGTGGAGCTAGGAGTAAAGTTATTACATGCCATGTGGTTTTCCTGGAAGCTTATATTACACAACAGTTTAGTATCCCAAGTGCGGATGTTGGAGAATGATCCATGATTCATTCCAGGGTGGCCTCCCTGCAAATGTATTTATTTCATCTTAAAGGGTATACTACATAACAGAAACTTATGTGCAAATCCAGGTTTCAGCCTGGTGGCAAAGTGATCTTTGCATTAAGGTATACTTCTGCTTCATACACTTTGGTTTAATTTCATTTTAACAAGGGGCCATGTCCCAGATGACTTTACCCAGAATGAGCAGTGTGAAGTACTCAACTCTGGATTTTAGGGTGTACAGCCATCTTTACTCTAGTTCAGAAAACAGAATAATAATGGACATTTTTCCCTGTTATCACAGAAGCAGAGCAGACTGATGAGCAGCTTTATCATGAAATCTCACAGGTAAGTGAGTTAGCACAAGTTGAGTTCACTTCTACTCCCTGGAAAGAAGTTTTAAGTCCTTCATCTCTTGAATGCATTCAGTATAATTGGGAGAATCCTTGTATTCTTCCTTCCCCACCCTTTCTGCAAAGCCTTGTGTCCTGGCAGACCTTCCTTTGTCTGTGGAAGTCTGGAGGCTGTTTCATGGCAAATGCATCGGAGTAGTTATCATTATCACCTAGAAGGGATTTCTTCAGTGCCTCGGATCATTTTTATCTTTGGGGCCACCTCTGCAGTGCTCCCATTTGGTGAAGTGAAGGGAAAGCTTGTGTCAGAAAATGGCAATATTTGATTTAGAGGAGTCCAAGTTGATGAGAGCGAAGTGTAAATGGATGGGAAAGCCAGAAACAAATTTAAGTCCTCTCATCCTCTGGAGATTAGAAGTACAGCTGTAACTGCATGTTGTAGTCTCCCTCTTGTCACAGTTTACTTAGGACAGAATCTATGTTTTAATGATTGCTAGGGCTGACCATGCACTCAAATTGTTACTTGGGTCTTTGTGCTCCCTCTGTAACCATTGCAAGAAGTAGCCAGTTTTGCCTTCCCCTTTTACAACAAGATCAGAACAGGAATATTATTCTGCCCCTTTTGCCAGTTTGGGTTCATGGGTATTCCAGGCATATAGGAGGAAAGAGACCATTTTATTTTGGTCACAGCTGACCAAAAGATTGGCACTTTTTGCTGCAAAATAATGTCAAGTCCCAATTCTTGCTAATTTCTTGCTGTAACATTACTTTTACAGTGATCAGCCAAAGTAGGGTTGTTCATGGAACTGCTAAGAATCCTCTTCCATTCCTTGCCCTCAACCCTTTCTGAATGTTTTAGATACACTCTTTGTACAGTCTGTACAGAGGTAATGTCTTCCTTTTGTGTTCTGTCCATGGTGTGTAGCCAAACTCAAGAATCACAGTTCTGTACATAATAGAAATCTGGGAAGGTAGTTCTGATGGAAACTAATCTGGGCATTTCTTAACAATTCTCATTCTGTGTTCTGTTAAAGCCATCAGTCTGGTGCTAAACTATATAAACAGCTCTGGGCAAAACCGTAACAGTTCTTATTTTTCTTTTAAATACAGTTGTGTATGTTGGATTAAATGTTTGCAATTCTTCATAAGAATCTGCATGTTCAGGATTCAATAGTTTTTCTTTTCTTCATTTTAGGCTAATGTAATTTGCATAGTATATGCTGTTAACAACAAGAATTCTATTGAAAAGGTACGACAACAAATTTTTATCTATCTATCTACTGTTTAAGATGCAAATCCTGTGCTCCTGTATCTGAAGTCACAGTAAAAAACTTTGTTCTTGGTTATTTAAAGGGCAAAAAAATCTCACTTGAAGTGGTGCAATGACGACCTGTGCATTCTTTGGTTGCACTCTCTTATTCCTCGTGTGTCAACACCTCTGGGTTCTCCATTGTATCCACCATTCCCCCAGATGAGAAGCAACTAAGATTCCCTTCTCAGCCTATTTGCCACATTACAGTAGGCTAGAAGGTTGGCCGATCAACGAACTTATGCTTTTCCCTTTTGTTTTCCATTCCCTTATGGCCAAACATGTGTACGTTATTGTATCATATCGTTATTGTTCCAATGATAAGTTGACCCCATGTTTTCAGTTCAACTTCAGGAAAAGAAAAATCTCTGAATATATAAATAACTGCAGCTAAAGACCTTGAACTGCTATTGCTATTATAAAACCCTGTGGGAGAATCAAATAACGAACGGAACGATCCAAAGGGTTACAGGCTATAAAAATACTTAAAAATTACACTGAAATGTATATCTAACTGGTACACTTATTACATGCATAAACAGCAAGTATGGAAGTCAGGATTGTCAGGATCTCAGTTATAGGTCAACTCTACATGTTAGTTGTGTACGTTTTTTAATGGCTCTCTTGGAGATCATAAATCTGTTATTGGAACAATATGGTATGTTCCTTCCAGCTCCCAAGACCAGCCAAATTAAAGTCTGCTATGGGCAATTCATTGTCATATTAGTTTGAATATTCATTTTATTTACTAACATCTGTTTATTGTTTTAGGTAACAAGTCGATGGATTCCTCTCATTAATGAAAGAACAGACAAAGATAGCAGGTACTTGCTCAGAGATGAGAAGAAATGTGATAAAGATTGAGGACCACAGTGGTGGGTTGTGGTTGGTTAATATTCAGAGTCTCGGTCATGTGAAAAAAGTTGATATTGGAAATCTTGCAGTCTGGATTCCTGCAGATTTTCAGTGACCTAGATGACTTTTACCCACTGTGTGCGCCTTGTGTTTTGAATTTCACTGACAGCCTGCACCAGTGGTGCTCAAACTTGCCCCCCACTACAGAAATGATGTGGACAAATTTGAGAGAGTCCACCAGAGGGCAATGAAAATGGTTAGGAGGCTGGAGGACATGACTTAGGAGAGCGTGAGGGATCTGGGTTTATTTAGTCTGGAGAAGAGAAGACTGAGGGGGGATTTCATAGTTGCCTTCAGCTACCTGAAGGGGTGTTCAGAGAGGATGGAACTAGACTGATCTTTGTGGTAACATGACAGGACAAGGAGCAATGGTCTCAAGTTGCAGCAAGAGAAGTTTAGGTTGGATATTAGGAAAAACTTTCTCACCAGGAGGGTGGTAAATTACTGGAACAGGCTACCCAGAGAGGTTGTGGAATCTCCATCTTTAGAGGTTTTGAAGACCTGGATAGACAAAACCTTGGCTAGGATGATATAGTTAGAGATGGTCCTGCTTTGAGCAGGGGTCTGAACTGGATGACCTCCTTGACGTTCCTTTCAACCCTCATTTTCTACGAGTCTATGAAACAGAAACACAGATCCTCAGAAGAAGAAAGAAATCTCTTTTGGGGCTTCTGGGGGACTTGGACTGCTAACTGTCCAAGTCTGCTTGTTCTCAGTCATTGTGAGCTGCTTAAATTGCTGTGTAGAAAGTAACTTACTCAGTAGACCAAACCTTCACAGCTTTGAGGTCTTTGCACCAGTACTATATGGTTGTATATTGTACGAATGTCTGGACATTAGGGCTGCATGAAGTTTCAGTCACTCATATGATTCTGAGGAGATTCGGCCTGATTCCGGCCAAATTGAGTCAGGAAACCCTTTAATCTCTCTGAATCAAATCGGAAGCCTCCGATTCCATTCGGAGAGATTTGACAGTTCGGTCATAGACACAGCTTTGTATGTTTTTTCTACATACTTCGAGGTACCAGGCATGGCTTGTGAACACTGAGATGGTGGGGCAGATGGAGTGTTCGGGGGGGGGGCGGTCCCTGCACACTTAGCGGCAAACCAGAAGTACTTCCGGTCTACTTCCAGGTCCGCCACAAAGGACCCCCTCGCCCCCCGGCTCGGTGACTGGTGCCTCCTGGGTGTGGGGAGTCACCTGGGGTCCCCGCATAGCCTGGGGAGGCATGGAAAGGTCCCCTGTGTGTTCACATGGGACGCTCCATCCACCCCACCATCTTGGTGTTCATGAGCCGCACCTGGTACCTCAAGGTATGTAGAAAAAACATACAAAGCTGTGTCTATAGCCAAATCGCTGATTCTCCGAATCAGAATCAAATCTTCAGATTCAGCCGAATCAAATTGGGACAGTGATCCGAACCAGTAAATCGAATCGCTGTCCCTTGAATCGGGCCAAATCTGAATCAACTACAGCCCACTTCACACACCCCTACTGGACATCTCTATTATAATTTTTGTTCTGCATTACTGTGGGTGATATAAGAAATCAGAGTAACTGGTCAGCTGTTTCAAAATATTGAGGACAAGTGATATATAGCTTAAGTGATTGCTAAATTAATTTGTTTAACTTTCTGTTACGAAATCCAGAAAATATAAGTCTTATCATAGAAACTATTACTGCTGATTTGCTAATTCCCTCTGGCGTGGAGTTGGATGGAAATACTTTTAACGTCTCTTGTACATCTCGTCTGATAAGTCTTTTGTTTTTAGACTGCCTCTTATCTTGGTTGGAAACAAATCTGATCTAGTGGAATACAGCAGTATGGAGACCATCCTTCCAATTATGAACCAATATACAGAAATAGAAACTTGTGTAGAGGTATGCTAAGGGTTTTTTTAATGTTTGAATCCATTTTTAATAGAAACTCCACATTGCTCCCAGCCCCTTATGTTAGCTTTTAGTAATTGTTTATTTATTACATTTTAATGTGATTTTGAATTAGTGCAATATAAATATTAATCAGTAAAGTCATTAAAATATTTTTAGAAACCTTATGTCATAATATAATTAAATCTTGCTGAAAGCATGTTATTATATGACTTTTTCTTAAACACATGTTGCTCTTAGAAATTTTATTAAAATGAAACTCTTGACTTCAAACACATTTTTTCAAAATAGGCATGTCTATCAAATGTTAATACTAAAATAAAATAAAAATAGGGTACCAATGCATACTTTACCTTTTTGAGTGATAATCGTGATACAGCACTTTAGGACTGTTACAGTGTTGGTGGTTTTACAGCATCGGAGCTTGAGACTAAAGATTTTATTTTTGCACTTGTAACTGAGGACCTGCTTTTTTTTTTTTTTAAAGAATTCAACTCCCATTTAGCCAGCAGATAAGTCACCAGATATTCAAAAACAGTTAACAAACTAATTTAAAGATTTCTTTTTCAGTGTTCGGCCAAAAACTTGAAGAATATATCTGAACTATTTTATTATGCACAGAAAGCTGTTCTTCATCCTACAGGGCCTCTCTATTGCCCAGAGGAAAAAGAGGTATTTTGTTTTTTAAGCCAGTGCAAATGAATATGGTAGTAATCAAGTTAATTTGTCAAACCCTTTTCAGAAGACTTATGTTAAAGTAATACAGTGATAATTGTTGCTTTTTTTTTTGCTTCTTTTTCTTTACATCAGGGTGTATTTTCATGTTTGATTATTTCTGCGTAATTGTCAGTCATCACATTCCATCTCCATTACACCTTTGGCCTGCCACCAGAGCTGTGACTTTTTCCCAGTCCAGGAGGTAGTTCACAGAAGGATCTGCATTTTTGCTTCTCAAATAATTGCATGTACAAACAAGCATGAGTTAATTTTGTTTCAGATCAGGCTTAATCATAGCTATACAATCATGTCAAACGTACCGTGATCTAGTGCCAAATTCTGCTCCTCATTATCAAGGTGCAGATTCAGAGTATTTGTTGTTTAACTTTACTTCAGTGCTAGTCTGATGTATTACCGAGACACGTGGGTATTTAAAATAAAAATAAGAATAATATGGGTAATTATTTATGTCATCCCTAAGCTTTCTGTTTATCGCTACTTTTGTGGTCTTGCTCCACTCTGAAGAGTGGGAAAGCCATTTCAGTCTCATACAGAGTACTGTAGAAAAGTCGGCACAGAAGAGCGATGTTGACTTTGCATGGTATCAGTGTGTAATGACATTAACCATGTGTCAGAGTTGTGTTATGCTGGTATAATATTCAGATTTTTCTCCCATTCTTCATCACTCTGTAGCTGGGAGGTGAGAAAGGTTTTCCTTTCTCCTCATTTTCCTAGATGTTGGGAGGGAATTACCCCTTCTTTTCTAAAGTTCACTGCCTCTGCAGTGCCATCCCTTATTTGGTGCTTTGTCTGATGGGCGAATGATCTAGTGAGCATTCATGACATTGATATTCTCCCGGCCTCTTCTTAAAACCCTGCTTGAACCACCTGAACAAGATCTATTCTTTGTTCAGTCAGAGATGAATGTAGCTCAGGAGCCATTAATTTTATTTTTGTGCAGCATTAAATTTAACTTCATTTGCACAGAAGACTGTTGTCTGTTCTGATCATTTAAATAGACTCTGCTGCATTAATTTTAAACAGAATATCTTACAGTGAACCCAATAATTTAGTGCTCTTTAGTGGGCTTATGGAATGGCTAGCAGATTTTCTCCAGATTTTTTTGCACAGATTGGCTTTTTTCATGTGAGAACTGATTTTTGACTCAAAAATCAGTTCTCACATGAGAACTGGGTAACTAGTTCTCATGTGAGAACTAGTTACCCAGCTACTGTTACCCAGAACTAGTTGTTCTCACAACTGGTTACCCAGCTACTGCCTTTTTGAGTCTACAAAGATGGATCCAGGGTATTATATAACTGACAATAAGAAGTTGATTTTGATCTGTTTCCAGATATAAATATGCCAATGCTGATTTCCTTTCTTATACCATTGATTACATGAATTTCCATTCTGAAAATATAAAACAAAACAACCACTGAAGCACCAGCATCTCTTGTAATTCTCTGGTGATGCCAACTAGTGCAATATTCTTATATTGAAGCTAAAAAAATATTAAATTTTTGCTTTTAATCTGTAGATGAAACCTGCCTGCATAAAAGCTCTCACGCGCATCTTCAGGATCTCTGATCAGGATAACGATGGCACTCTCAATGATGCAGAGCTCAACTTCTTTCAGGTAGGTTCCTGTAATTTTGATTACTTCTCTTTTCTTCATGTTCAACTATATAACACTATCGCAACAAGCTGAATCATTTGGTAACTTTCCAGGTGTTCTCTGTATACCTTTTTTAATAGTTAAACTCTTGGCTAAGATTATGCCTTTTAATGGGGAACAAAGCAGTGTAGTGACTTGGCCAGACTTTAGCCTTGAGATCCGAGGGTGTGCATACAGCAGGTTCTGCCACACAGCAGACAGCTTGTTAGAATAGTGCATGGTGTACTACATGTGGATTTAAGAAAAGGCTATAGGCCTAGCCCTTTGTGAGACTAATACTTCCAATATTATCCCCAGTAAGATTGTTTTCTCGTATGCGTGAGAGATGGCAGATCCTTACACATCCTCACTGGGTAAAGCAGAATCTTACCATATATAAATCATGTTTGCATATGAAATTCCTATAACAGACCATGAGTCTTAGTGATATGCTGCAGTGAAAATGGGAGTTAAAAGTATGACAATAGGGAGAGCAAAATGAGGCTTAAGATCTCTGATATGGAACTCTGAATTCAACTTTCAGATCTCTAAGAAATGAAATTCAGAGGAAAGGTTTTTAATTAGCTGTTGCTATGGTTTTTAGTTCAGCTGAACATCCATCTTTTGTCAATTTAACGTGCAAACTACAACAGTCATGAAAAACAAAAACAGACTTTCTCCATGGATACCTGCACTGAGTAATTAATGCGAGTTCAAACAGGGTCTTGAGGGATTCCAGCACTTTATTTTCAGTTTCTTTTAAACTCCTGTCCCTTCTCAGGTTGCTGTGATTCTTTAACCATCTTGGAAACTGAGGCAAGTAGCAGATATCCTGGCCTGTTTTGCTCTTCATATGTGCCAGGCAGTACTAAGTAGCAAGGAAATGTCCTGTCTGCTCTGCTTTTGAGTTAGTTTGCTTGGATTGCCCCTACTGTTTAGCTTAACATTGCTTTTAGGATTGTGTTTTGTGCAGGACTTCCTGTTGTTTAGTACTTAGCGTCTCTAACATGCTTTTCCCCCCTCATTTGTTAGAGAATATGTTTTAATACACCATTAGCACCTCAAGCACTGGAGGATGTAAAGAATGTAGTCAGGAAAAATCTAAGTGATGGAGTTGCCGACAATGGATTAACATTAAAAGGTAGGCACTGTTTAATTCTTAATAGATATACTTAAAGTTAATTAAAGGAGAAAACCTTGTGCAATCTACTGATAAAGGAAATGTTTGAAGTATGATTTTGGTTGTTCACTCTATAGACCCTGAGAGCTGGACATAAACAGTATACCAGAGACAAGCTGAGGGTTAAAAACTGAGGAATAATGAGGGTGAAGGAAGGAGGATCATTGGTGTCACAGTGGAGGATTCATAAGGAATTAAAATGTTTGAATTAAGTGCACTGATTTGAATAATCTCTCTTGTGGGTATTTCTGCAGTTCCTATTTAGTATAGGCTATGTAGTAGAGATGTACCGATACATTGGTCCCGTATCAGATTGGCACTGGTATAAGGAAAATTGACTGTATTGGCAATCAGCTTTTTTGCCTGATGTGGCCTGTAATGTGGCTGGTAAATGCCCTGTGCATGTGTGCAGCTGCAGCACAGCACACAGGTGGTGAGGAGCACAGCCTGGCGGCCTGGAGAGCAGCATCCAGCTGGTAAATCTGTTGTGGGGGAAGGAGGGGGGGTAGATCGAGGGCCCTGAGGTGAGGGAGGGAGTGGGGCTGGGGTGGGCACTGCATAGCCGGAGCAGGGCACAGGACAGAGCTGTGACTTGTCCAAGGTGGGAGGGAGATGTGGCTCCCACCACTTCATGCACCCTGAGAGGGCATGAGGGGCATGTGCCTCTGCATCTCTGTGCGTGGTGAGGGCGAGCTGCTGCTGCAGGCTGTGGCTGGGGCTGTGCCAAGCTCTTCTCAGCGGGGTTTGGGCCAGGCTGTGCTTGGGGCGGCAGTGCTGGGAGGGAGGGCTTGGGGGGCCACAGTGAATTTTGGGGTGGCTGCAGGCCCCCTCTTCACCCCCCCCCCTTAGCCCCTTCCCAGTGCTGATGCCCTCCCCAAGTGCATCCTGGCCCAATACCCTCACCAGGAACAGCTTGACGCAGCCCTGGCCCTGGACCACAGCAGCACTCCACCCTCACCCTGCACGCAGATCTTGGGGCCACACCCCTGTGCCCTCCTGGGGTGCATGCAGTAGCGGGAACCACCCCTTCTCCCCACGACCCCTGGACGAGCCGTGGCTCCATCCTGCCCCGACTGGGCAGCCCCTGCCTCTGGTCCACTCGCTCCCTTACTGCAGGGGCCTCAAACTGCCACCCCCAAGCCCCTTCTTTCCCCTCCTCCTTCCACTACAACAGACTTTCCAGCCGGACACTGCTCTTCAAGCTGCCAGGCCACATATCGGCAATCGGATTGGTATCAGCCAATAGGTTTTATTAAAAATCAGCTATTGGAATCGGCCCAAAAAATCTGTATTGGAGCACGCCTACTATGTAGGTCTCACTGGTGGCAGCACTGGTTTATGTAAGATGTTGGTATACGCCCACATTTTTACTACACTGTTGTGCAGATGGTAATTTAGCATATCCCCTAGTGCTACCCCTTCTACAACCTCAACAGTGAAAAATAGTAGGGAAAATACTGTAATCTAGATATAGCCTTTATAAATCATACATGGATTCATGAGGGAAAGTAATCTAAATTTTCAGCAAGATGTAGAAAGTACTTAAACAAACAATTATCCTTCATATTATATAAAATCTTGGCATAAAAAAGTTTTAATGTACACTTCCAAAACACTGCTGTCCAGTAGGGATGCACCAATAAAGATTTTTTTGGCTGATACCTATGGCTGATTATTAACCAGCCATATCAGCCAATCCCAATCCCATTGCCAATATGCAGCGCGGTAGCTTGGAGAGCAGCATCCAGCCAGTAAGTCTGTGGAGGAAAAGGGCCATGGAGGGGGCAGATCAAGGCCCCCACAGTGAGGGAGGGAGGGAGTGGGGCTGGGGCAGGGCGGGGCACGGGGTGGAGCCATAGGCTGCCACTGCATGCACCCTCAGGGGAGGCATGGAGGGCATGTGCCCCCCAGATTTGTGTGCGGGGTGAAGGTGGGCTGCCCACTGTAGGCTTGGGGCCAGGGGCTGTGCCAGCTTCTTCCTGGTGGGTGGGGCTGCAGGTGGTGGTGGTGCTGGGAGGGGAGCTACAAGGCAGCTACGGGGAATTTTGGGGTGGCTGTAGCCCATCCCATAGCTCCCCCTTCCAACATCACCACCACCTGTCCATGCCTAGCCCCCCGCTGCCAGGAAGAGGCTAGCGCAGCCCTTTGGTGCTAAGCCCACAGCAGGCAGTCTGCCCTCACCGCATGCACAAATCCAGGGAGCACATGCTTCCCCCAGGTTGCATGCAGTGGCGGGGGGCCTCCCCCCCAGGACAGCCGCCCACGGCTCCATCCTACACCCTGCCCCACCCCAGCTGTGCAGTTCCTGCCCATGCCCCAGCCCCACTCCCTTCCTCATTGTAGGGACCTTGATCTGCGCCACCCCCACCTCACACCTCCTCCCTCCCTCACAGACTTACAGGCTGGATGCTGCTCCTGGCCGCGTCCATGCTGCAGCTGCGCATGTACACGCGGCATTTATCGGTGGCATTATCGGCTATACTGGCCAAAAAAAGCTGATTGCCGATAACATCAATTTTCCTTTTATCAGTGCTGATCTGATATGGACCAATATATCAGCGTACCTCTGCTGTCCAGAAATTCTTGCTGAATGATTCATTCTTTACATTTTGAATGGACAGAAACTGTAAGCTTGATACAAATTGAAAATATGTAATTTAGCATCAGTATTTTATTAAAACCTAGAAAGCAAATGTTAATAAGATGATTTTCAAATTGCTATTTCATCAGGGAGGTTCAACTATGGAGCTATTATAATTGTAAAAATAGAAGGTACAGAAAATAAAATGTTTTATGCATATTTTGTATATATTATGTATGTGTATTTAGCCTGTATGTCTCCTGTATTTAGTTTGTATTCTTATGTTGATACCTTCAAAGAAAAATTATTAAAATCGTAAGTGTATCAACACCTTCAGAGTCTTAAGAACTGTCATTTAATTTCAGGTTTTCTTTTTCTACACACACTTTTTATTCAGCGAGGAAGACATGAAACAACCTGGACAGTATTACGTCGTTTTGGCTATGATGATGATTTAGAGCTCACACCAGAGTATTTGTTTCCTCCGTATGTGCCCTTTTGTTTATTTTTCCATTTTTAACTTTAAATATTTGGACTTGTTTCATCCTTTTATCCAAGGAAAGGTGGATTGTTACATTGGTTACATCTTGACATAAAAACACAACTCCCGTCTTTTTAGTAATGTTGAAATGGTGTGGATACAATATGGAGCATACGCAACCTCTTGACATGTCACTTCCCTTAGGCTTATAAGCTAAGAGTCTGATCCAACACTGGCAAAAATCAACCGACTCCTTTCCAGTTACTTTCCTCTTGGAGCCCAGTAATAGCTAAAACCTTAAAATTTCACACAGTTGCCCACCCACTTTCTGCTACTCATTGCATATGAAGAGCAGAAAGATCCAGATTTGACATATTACATCAGACAGTGAGTGTTCCAGTCACTTGAGAATCCTGTCCTGGCAGTATTTGGTTTCCTTTAAACCCCTGTCTCAATATGCAGTCACACAGTGCTGTGTAGGAGTGAGATGGCAGGAGGGCAAAACTTCCTCCATAAACCCTGTATAATCAGCTTATGACCAGGACATGGCACTTAATTATCCTTTCTCTTAGAGGAAAAGAAATAGTAGGAATGGATCTAAAACTGTCCTGCCTTTTCTTATAGCATTTAACTCATTTAGGCTTTTCAGAGGCTCTTAAGGAAGTTAGGTGACTAATTCCCTTATTCTGTTTTGAAAATCCTAGCTTCATATCTCAGAAAGTTGCCAGATATTTCTGTTATATATAAAAATGTTTTATATTATGAATGATTTTAGAATTCCTAATAAATCATGCTTTCTTTGTTCTCTTCAGAGAAACTGTATAAAGAAACTGAAATGCTAAATGTTTCTTGCAGATTTATATCTTGGAAGATTTATGATGTGACTGAATTTTTTGGTCTTTTTTAATAAACAGGTTGAAAATTCCTCCTGATTGCACAACAGAGTTGAATCATCATGCATATTTGTTTCTCCAAAGCATTTTTGATAAACATGATTTGGTAAGTTTTTAATCTCATTTACACACAGTTTGTATAATATCCAAAATAGCTTTCTACTAACTCTTAGCAACAAAACCCCTGTTGTCAAGGAATTAAGATTTTTTTAAACTTGCAATAGGAGTTGAATTATTAATATTTTGTTATAAACAATATGAAAGTGAATCTGTTTCATTTTTGAAACTCAAAATTTATGAACTAATGTTAATCTTTAATGTGGCATATGGAATCTATTCAGTGTTTTGTATCAGAGAGCTAATTTTGAAGTCAACCATCTCCCTTCTGTTTAAATTGTAGATGTCATTTGGTTACCCTACTCTTTATAAAAGTCTCTATGTGCTGCAAATGTGTCTGCTTCCTAGGCTTTATTGGCTCTAAAAGCAGAACAAAACTAAAGCTAAACTTTTTGCTGAAGCTGGTTATTCCTGGGGTTTCCTACATAGCTTCCCTCTCTATGCTCTTAATTCTCTTGGACCAAGGATACTTTTCTTTTCTTGGAATCAATGGGCAGCATCTCCTATAATAAAGAAGCAGAAACATGAGGATGGATAAATGAGCCCTTCCTTCCCTGTGTAGGGCATAGTTCTTGCTATCCTATTTACTGTTGCATTGATCAGTGAAAGAATACTTAAAGCAGGAAAGAATATTTTTATTTTAAAATTGTATTTAGAATAGTATTTATTTTATGCACACACTTCAGGAATATTAGAAATGACAGTGTGTGTCCTTGGAGTAAAGTCCCTCTGGGGGAAAAAAGTTTTAACAAAGAGACAGTATTTTAATGGTTGTGGCATTTATGCATTCATTATTCTTATTTATTTTTTATTTTTGTATTTGTTTTTTTCTTTCCAAGTCAAAGGAAGTTTGACTTCTCTTGTATTGCTAAGATATGATTTGTTTTAGAAACTTGCAAGTAGATTAACATAGCATCAAGGCCTGGGGTTTTGATAACATTTTTATGGCAGCAATGTGTAGACACAGCTATATTGGCAAAAATAAGGTTTTTTTCAGTATAGTTATTTTGTTTAGGAAACCCAGTATAAGCTATATCAGCAAAAGTGCTCTTTGTTGGTTTAAGGTGCAGTTACACCAGTGTATAAAAGGAGAATTCTGCTTTCTTTCAGTTACTTTATCTGTCCTAAATCCTTAACTTAGTTTCAGTTCCTTGTGACCTGCTAGATTCAGAAATGTGAGCAAGAGAAGAAAAGTTCTCTATTGTGCCACTGGTTTTTTAGGCCATTCAGTTCCTGACAACAAATTCCTTAATTTTGCATGTTTTTGCAAACATGGTTTGAGAAGACACGTAAACTTTATCAGTACTATTTGTCTCATATGCATATATCAGGACAGAGATTGTGCTTTGTCTCCTGAAGAACTCAAAGATTTGTTCAAAGTCTTCCCTTATATGCCATGGGGGCCTGATGTCAACAACACTGTTTGTACAAATGAAAGGGGTTGGATTACATACCAAGGATTTCTCTCTCAGTGGACGTAAGTATGGTGTATTGCATGTTTTTAGCTTTCATTGCTGAAAGACTTAATGTTGGCATTCCATGGAGGACTTCATTTGATAAGATAAAGAACCTCCAGGACTTTATTTCATAGCATTCTTTTTTTCATAGCTATGTAAATCTTGTTTAAGAATATAATGATGTGTGTACTAGAGGCATCTGAAAAGTGTTGGTGTAGAGGTAGACATTGATCAAAAATTTTTAATCTTCTTCATTGCCTTCTTCTAAAAAACCATGCTAATGAAGGTGCCATAATGTGGTGGTGTGAATTATTTTCAAGTTGAATTCTATATAAACTGCACTGCTGCTGCAGTTCTGTCAACTGTCTATAAACATTATGTTTCCAAAACCAGAGAGATGCATGTTACAGATGCATAAGTTTGTCTGTAGTAACCATATTCAGACAGTTTATTGTACTTCTCAATTAAACACACAACCTTTCTTTGCTTTTTAAAGACAAAAGCAAAAGTTATGCTATAATAAATATCTAATTAAATTACTTGCTAGTAGAATGTTCTTTCTGTTATGAAACTCTTTTATTTATTTTCAACCCTTAAAGAAGTTTTTCTGTTCCCTTAATGGAGATTAGCTTGCGTTATAAATTTGTTGTGCATGCTTGGTGTAGCTGTCAGAGTCTCAGGAAAGGTATGCTTAATTACCTCTGCCTTGTTACCACTTCCTTGGCAGAGATCGGTTGTTCCTCAGAAAGCTGGAGGTCATTTTCTGGTTATCCTTTCTGACTGACCCTCCCTTGTCTTTGAAAATTTGCAAGCAGCTTTGCCAAGCTATAATTCTGGCATGTCTGTATGACTGAATTAGAGAAACACACACATGTGGCTGGTCTTGTTAGTAATAAGCACTGTTAGCTTTGTTTGGTGCTCTGATAGTTCAGTAGGAGACCATTATTACTGATTGCAGCCAGGTGTAGCATGGAGAAATGTCTACAAGCCTTGCTGCGCAGTTCAGCCGGTGCAAATCAGTCCTGGTCTTCAGCACTGTTATACCAGCTATCAGCCTCTTAATCCTCTAAACTCTCTTTCTACTTGGGTCATGCTATCTGATACTTTAGTACTGAGCCTCACCAAGATTGTACAGATAGTATCTTTGTACCTCACCTGGCAGTTAACAGGAGTGAAAGTGCATGAGGAAACTAATCTAGAATTACTACATTTCTTCCTGTTCACTTCAGTCCTGCCTAGGTCACTAGTGACACAAACTCTTCCAGATATTATGTGGAAAGGAAGCAAGCTAACAGCTGAGAAATTGGCCAAATCAATAAAGCTTTTAGAATCATTTCCAGATCACCTTCACAGATAAATGCAGCCTGTTCTGTTTGGTTTTTTTTTAAGACAGGATCCAATGCTTGTTTCTAGACTCCATTATTTGAAAATCTCTGTGAAATAGGTCTGATCATAAATTTTTACTTTTTAGTAATCAGTGTATACCTCCTATAAATTTAAAAAATGTTGCTGTCTCCTTGTTTTCACCTAGAAAAGGCGTTGGGAATGTAAGGGGGAGACACCACAGTCCCCTTAGGATAGGGAAAACTTTGTTGTGTAGGTTGTTGTCATGATTGGTTAGAGCTTGACAAGGACTGTTTTCTTAGTGTCACAACTATGGAGTTTTACAGCTGTGACCATTAATTTGTGTCCTTCAGTACTGCCTGGCATCAGGAATACTTTGCTTCAGCCAGTTGAGATGCATGACATACAAGTTCTTTAATGTTACAGAAAATTGATAATGCTCTCTTCTGTTTTAGATTAACTACATATTTAGATGTACAGCGCTGTCTGGAATACCTAGGTTATTTGGGCTATTCAATACTGACAGAGCAAGAGTCTCAGGCATCAGCACTTACAGGTAATTTTTGGAAGCAAAACCTGCTAGGAGTTTCATTCAAGCAATTGTTTTCATCCACCTGGTTGTCAAGCAGTAAATTGAGTGTAAATAAAATGTGCTGCATATGGTTCTTTCCCCCTTTTCTGCTTAGAACTTAGACATATGAGTCAATATTTTTAAAAGGAATAATATCCTGCTGATCACTTCAATTAAATTAATAAAAGTTAAAAAAAATGCATAGCTTTTACAAAGCATTTACCATATGAAAAGATTAATCCAGCATGAACTAAGAAGCAGTCTGTAGGCTGTTGATTTTATTATTTTCTGTAAGTGTTTGGTATAAACTGTGTGGAGGTTTCAATTACAGATCTGTTCTAAGACAGACAGAAGCCAAGTAAACTGCCTTAAGTTTCCACAGAGGTCACTAGCATAGTCCGGATAGAGCTACCACTCCTAATTGATATTCTAAAATCTAGATAGAATTTCTGCTTATGAAACGGCTTTTTAAGAATGTTTTGTCATTGCGAATGCATCAGACAGACTAATGTAGCTAAGATAATAGATTTAGATATGGATCAGTAATTTGAACAAACGATAAGGTAGTACAAATTAGCACAGTTAGGCAAAAATGATGGAAACATTTCAAATATGATGCACACCATTTAACCAAAAAAATTTGTGTGTGGAAGCTTCATGTAGGTTCTCACTTCAGTTGAAAGAAAGGTGTTACATTGTAGTTAAGAGCCATCAACTTTAATTAGTTTTGTTTCAAATGGTCTTGCTATTTGATGATATAGATGATAGTGCTAATACTTTAGTTTTGCCCTTGAGAACTTGTGCATAATTGACTCATTTTTCTGTGATTTAGTAAATTGCTGACAAGCAGTAATAGTTTAAGTAAATCCTGTTGCTGAACACAATTTGATTTTTTTTAAAATTTTTATTTTAATAATAAAACCAAATGCTAATGAAACGGTTCCATTTATCCAGTATAGCAGTCTATTTCATTTATCCAGTTTGTAGCAGTACTAATATCTAATATCTGTTATTCTGTTGATGTATCTTTTATTATATATTTGCATCTTGTAAAGTATATTCTTTTCAAAAGTAACTAGAGATAAAAAGATAGACCTTCAGAAAAAGCAGACTCAAAGGAATGTCTTTCGGTGCAATGTTGTTGGGATGAAAGGCTGTGGGAAAAATGGAGTTCTTCAGGCACTTCTTGGAAGAAACCTAATGGTAAGAGGTTTTTTCTTTTTAATACGTGCTTTGTGAGTTAAATTTAGATAACAAAACTTAATGGGCAGCATGTAGGACTTCACTAGTTAGCACCAAATTTGGGGAAAACCGTCATAGATTGAAACATTTTTACAATTTAACCAGTAAGTGAATAGATACTGCATGGCAATATTGCTTTGTTCACATCCCTATGCATTAGTTATGGATTAAATCTTTGTTGCATCATTATTTTTATGAAATGCACTATTGCTACACATTTACTAGTATTGTATGAAATTTTTCATAGCAAGATGCCTCTACAGTATTTTCTTGTTAAACAGGAGCAGCCTGTGGCAGAAATTACTGCTTTCGTCTAATCTTTAAATTCTATGTGTTTTCAGAGACAGAGGCAGATACGTGCGGAGCATAAATCTTACTATGCAATTAATACAGTCTATGTATATGGACAAGAAAAATACTTGCTGGTAAGACAATCTCAGGATTGGTTGTACACATGAGGATTTAAAAAATTGTATTGCTCAGATTTCAGAAGACTCTGCTTAGTTCAGGAAATAATTCTTTGTTTGAGATTTCTTATTTTAACGCTTTCTCTTGCTCTTCATGTGCGTGTTGTACCCTTCTACCCCTGAACCTCAAAGATGTACAGGTTCTTAATTACATTTATGTTGTTTGATTCCTGTTATAATTTGTTATATCCTAATTATGTCAGCATACCTTAATTATCTCAGACCTAATTATCCAGTCAGAAAGCATTGATCTTCCCAAATTTAGCATATGCATGGAATGAAAACTCTTATCTTATAAACGTAGAGCCAGCTCTGTCTGTTTTTAATGTGTAGACTAGTCAATCACATTCCATTAAACCCCTGTAATCATGACAAACTTCATTTGCAGCTTAATATCAGTTTGTTGCAATAGATGTTTTCCTACCTTTTCCTCTCTTTTCTATTACCTTTTCAATAATAGGAAGGAGACGCATTCATAGATTCATAGATGCTAGGGTCGGAAGGGACCTGGGTTCAGATGACCCCAGCTAGATGCTTATTCAGTCTGATTCTTACATCTGAAATACCAAGTACAGGGGGAGAGGAGATAATACTTTACTAGTAGTAAAAGGCACTCCATATACAGAAAAGAAGATTTGTTCCTTGTGTCTAAATAAACAGTAAAATTTAATTCCTTTTATTTTTAAAGATGCTAGATAGAATTAGCCACTGTAGCCGTTAAAGATTTGTAGGCTGTCCTTTTCCAGGAGGCAATGGGGAGTGTGCTTGCCCTTGGGCCTGTTTGCATACTTAGTGATCCTTAATGAGACAGAATAAGGGAAAACAGCAAGGAATTTACCTTGTTAAAATGAAAACCTGTCACATGGATGACTGACCCCTGAAGCACTACTAGATGAATGTGCAGAATGACTATTAATAGTCTTCAATAAATGAAATACTTTGTAAAACAGAAATATGTTCAAAGATTTATCTTGCTGTAGCTTTTATTCATCATAATATGCAACTCATTTGTTTTGCAAATTTTGGTTAGTCCTTTACTCAAGGACTGGAGCTAGACTGCATGGAAAATAAAGCTTTATGTGGTATAAGCAGATGTATTTCTTTATACAGAGATTATTGTGATTGTTTTTCAGATATGGTGGTGGTGAGTCATGTCCTAGCTATATTGTACGTTCTCAATATTTGTATCATGTTAGTTCTAGCTATTGTGCGTCGGTTCCATCTCTTCTGCATATTTATATGAATTCAACTCAATACAAAATAAAATCATGCCATAAAAAAGCAAGCTTTGCAATCAAAGAAACTCCATGATAGCAAATCTTTTTCCTTCCTCTTGTTCCAGTTACATGATGTTAGTGATTCTGAGTTTTTATGTGATGATGAGACCATATGTGATGTTGTCTGCCTGGTGTATGATGTCAATAACCCCAAATCCTTTGAATACTGTGCCAGGATTTTTAAGGTTTGTATCTTTTATCTGTTTCTCTCCATAGGTTAATCAGAGTAAAATTGATTTTGGTTTTCAGTTGTTCTGATAATCTCCCAGTTAAAATATAAGAGAATATTGATTTATAAGTAGATAATGCATTCAAATATATTGTGGACTAGTGGATTCAGTTACTATGGGTTAGCTGCCTATACAGAATATTTTGATTCTAGTGTTGCTCAACTATATCTACAAATATTTTATAATTTTGCCCTGTGAACCATTAAGAACAAGACTGTTCTAGGTTTTGTTGAGTACTTTCTTTGTTACTTTCTTCCTTTTGTTTTCCATTAAATTTGCAGCAACACTTCATGGATAGCAGAACACCTTGTTTAGTGGTAGCTGCAAAGTCAGATCTACACGAAGTGAAACAGGAATATAGCATTTCTCCTGCAGACTTCTGCAAGAAACACAAAATGCCTCCACCGCAAGCCTTTACATGTAACACTGTCGAAGCACCGAGTAAGGATATCTTTGTTAAACTGACAACTATGGCCATGTATCCGTAAGTACCAGAAGCATCATACTTCTCTTACTGCATGGGTCATGACAACACTGCATGCCATTGTTAGCCATAAGGATGGAACTCTGCTTCATTTAAGCTGTTTAGCAACAGAGTGGTGTAACAGTGACCATGGTGAATTAAATGGTAAACCAATAGAGATACATAGATCATTTCAACAGATTATCTTTAAAATACTGTAATACATGGTAGAAATTGCTCCCAAATGACTTTTTTTCTGGCAAATCCATGTTTCTGTTTTCTGAATTTACCTAGTAAATTTAGAACGTACATATCTGTATCCTGTAAAAAGACAGGGTTCTGTTCTTTCCATGTGTGCGTACATAATTCATGGCCATTAATCGTCAATGGGAAGCTATGAGCATTTACAGAGGAGATTAGGGGCCCCTATAGTATAAATACTAGTAATAAATTTTGAGAATATTACTTTTTAAGTCATTTTATATTAATAAGGGAGCATCATTACTAAGATAAAATTTCATACACATACCTGGGGCTGATTTTTAAAGGTACAAAGCACCCATAGTTCCCACTGATTTCAAATGCAATTGTAGGTGCTCTGCCCTGTTGAGTCCAACTTTAAGGTATCTGGAGGCCCTGGTAGTTTCAGAATGGCTATGAGTGACAAAATACCCAGGATTTTCAATGTCTAGTAAATGCATGCATTTGAGTTTTCCTTTTTTGTATGCATATACAGTTTCTAATAGTAATAAGGGTAAGCACCATAAGTCACTGAGGGCTGATCATTTTAAAGTTATGTAATTGTCTAAATACCTTAAAAATGTAGCCCTGAGTCTACATTTTAGTATCCTTTATCTAGAAATGTTATATGTAATAATTTTCTGTTTGCTTAAATACCGAATAGCTGTCGGTCTTTGAATAACCGATACAACAAAACCCAAATTTTATAACAGTACTGTTAACAGCGAGGTGCAAATCTATGTTGTACTAAAATGGTGCAGTTGCAATATATTGGCAGTTATTTTAGTTAGAGAAGGAAATTGCAATTACAAATTCATAGCGTGCCCTACTTATTTAAAGTGGTATTAATGATCATTGATTTGACTGACCCACTGTTGTTTATTAGTTTCAAGGTATAGCCATTAAAAAAATCGAAGTAATGATGATTACAGTTCAAGTCTGTGGTTGGTTAAGATTTCTAACACCACTTGGTGTGCAGTAATTCCATTGATATGCCCTGCCTGTCGTTTTATGGGTTAATTATCTCTATGTAGATTATGTATTAAATAGTGTGCATCTCTTTAGTTCACATATCATCTGAGAGCTATGTTTCTGTTCCATACAACCCTGGTTCTGTAGTCTCAGACATTTTTCAAACTTCAAATTTAATATGCTTAAGATCACATTCCTTCTCACTACACATCTCACTCTGTTGCTAGGCACAGTTTACATCCCTCTTTATTTGGTGGGTAGAGATCTATGTATGGTGAACTAAGTGTATGTTATAGCAGGTGGATTCTAGTATGACAGCTGGCGTTGGTTTTAAATTAATTAGGAGTAAAGTACTCTTTACTCAGAAGTCTAGACTTTTGCAAGAAACCTCTTGAATGAGATCAGTAATGTTTCTTTCTCTTAATTTGGTTTATTTGAAAGTACTAGAGCATAAGCAATTTTTAAAAAATGTATGGCTTCAACTATTTGTCCTAGATATCCCTTGCTTCTCTTCTCCCCTGGTTTTCCAGCATGTGCGTATTGAGGGAGGGGAGGCAGTAGGGGTAGTTGTCACTTTGTCAAATAAAATGTGTGTTTAAGCATAGATGTGGCTTACTCCATTTTTTTTCCTTTATGTGAGAAGAGGGTGTTATCTATTGCTGTGCAGAGGCTTTTTTTTTTATTTAAGCTTTTCTGACACCGAGTTCAAAGATGACTATAGCATAGCAAACATTTTCATTAATGTTTGCTTTCTAGTTTTCATCCACGCATAGGGAAGTATCGTCAATGTGTTGACAACAAAAAATAGTTAGCCATAACATTCTGCACAGCTGTAGTTTTGCCCTTGCCTGCCCGACTCCTTTCTTTTCCTCTTTCAAATGTAACTAATTTATTCCTAAATCTCTTGGTTTTGGCACAGCCCTACATGTGCCTGGTTTTATAAACAAAATTTCAATTCCTGTCCTTCTGTGTGTTTCCGCAGCCATGCCCGGTTACGCTGTATGTGCGCCTGCAACAGGTGTACATTTTGCATCTGTCAGAACTTCCTCAACTCAGACTTGCTGCAATCTGTAAAGAACAAACTCTTCACTGCAGTTCTTAACAGGTCCTTAACTTTATTTACTAGGTACCAGGTGTGCTTTTAAAATACCAGATTTTTTAAAAAGCAGTTGGTAACCTTTTCTATGATGCAGATTTTCGTTCCATATCCACCAAACACAGATGCTCGTTGTAATTGTACTAAAACTTGTCAAGTTGTTTAACCTTGTTAGCTTAAAAATATTTTTGATCATTTAGGGCTTAGTTTAATATAGTGAAGCACACTGCTAACTTAATGGTCAGCTTATTCAGATATGCGGTAACAAAATATTGAGGATGATGTAGGCCTATCTTTTGAGGTAGGCAGTTAAGGGAAAACCACTGTTTTAAAAATCTATTTTAATATTAAACACTCAAAATATATAATATCTGTGTAGAATGGATTAGATCTTCATACCTTTTGGATATCAGTTTTAGAAATGTCTTTTAGAGGATGTTGCAGAAAAAGGTAAGGCTTGTTGAGATCAGTACTGTACAGTGCAGTTACATTTATGATACACATTGAACTTTGTGGGAGCTAGTAACACAAAACACCTTTTACTCGTGTTCAGGGTTTATCTGGTTTGTACAAATTAGTGGATATGCTGTGAAGAAATCTGCAGCCTTAACAACTAGCTCCTTAACAAAACACAACCTGCTTATACACTTCCAAATTATTAACTGCTGTGGTAAACTGATAACCACACAAACTTGCAAATATTTTGGACAAAGCAATTAGTAAAAGGCACTAAGTAGTATGAAAAGTTTCTTAGCATTGAAAGTAGTGCTGCATCTTATCTTATTTGTACTGCAGGCTGTGTTTATGAAACCCCTTGTCTTGTACACACACGCAAATTACTAACAGCTCAAATTGTGTCATCTTGCCCCCCTCAAAAGAATGGGAGTTCAAACCGAACAATAAATTTGTAGCATAGGCGCTCTGTAGCCGTCTTGAACAGGCTGTTGTGAATAGGTAGTTCGGAAGGGCATGGTTAGAACATGTTTTTGTACATGCTAAAAGGGCCATCGTTATTCCTCGTATGCTGTTCTCTGCCATTTTCAAATTATTATGGAAATATTCCTAATAGGGTAGGTACCTTATGTGCATGTGCTAGAGGTCTGCTGGTATTTCTGACTTGTGTAGAAAGCATGCTGAGGGTGCCTTGGTAAAGTGTGCTTTTTAAGGTTCAAAGCACAGGAGTTAGCAGTTCTGTCAGAACATATAGAAGAGAAACATTATGGACCAGAAAAATGTTATTTACTGAGAAATGACAGTGAAAGCTTCAATGGTGTCCCCTCCACCTTTTCTACAGAAACTAACCTTTTAAAATTTATCCTAGAAATCAGCTACTGGTTGCCTATTCATCCTAACCTCTGGATGATCCTAGAAACAGAACCTCTTTGTTAGCAGGGCTGGGTCGCCCTCTTGATGCTTAGTCATGTAGTCCATGCTTACTTCCCCTGTCAAAATCGTTATGGATAGTTCCTGTTTTTTGGCAGTGTGCTGCTCCTTTGGGACTTTCCTGAGAGCTTTGCATAACCAGGAGAATAGCAGGGACTGGCTGACAGGAGATGCTTTGGTTGGTCTTGGAGGGCTGTCCTCTCCCATACTGACCCTGCACAGTGGGAAACGGCAACCATAAAAATGTACCACCTTTTCTGTAACAGGTCCAGGTCCGTTATTTAGCAGGTGAAGAATTCACGATAAAGCTGCTGCCCCTAATCCTACTGGAAGCGGGGGAAAATTGTTTGTTCTGATCTGTTATGTATGAACATTTAGTTTTAGTATGCTGTCTTTTATCTTTGGTTTCCAGCACACTGACATGGTAATCAGACTGAGTGCTTTCTGGGCAAGTCTTCCCTTTCTGCTATAGGATTTTACTTACAGATCTAGGAGCATCCTGGGATGTGTAATTTGATGCAGGTTGTTCATAATTTAATTTGATGCAGGTTCATAATTGGATAGAGCCAATGGAGTAGCATATCTGTAAATGCACTTACTGCAGAGAGCTGCCCGTGTGTGAATACATTTGTTACACACAGAGGTAAAATGTTTACAAGTAGTGGAGGTTAGCTGTTAATCATGGATTATTGGGAGAGCCACAGTGATTTTTTTCCCCTTTGGTTAGCAAAATATGTACGCGCAAGGAATTTTTTTTTTAACTATGAAAACAGGGTGTTTAAAAAAGATAATTAAGGCACGTCATTTGACTGTGCAAATAACTATCAGACGTAATAGCCATAGCATTTGAATGGAGTAGACTCTGATATAGTTATGATTTATGTTTTTTCAGCGTTTAGAACATTTATAACTGCTTATTCCAAAGCTAGAAAATCAGTAAGGAGGAAATTTTTTTGACTGAAGTCACTGCTGTTATGCTCTCGGCTCTGCCTTCGCCTCCCCCTGCCAATTAACCCATTAGATACTGGAGGCAAACTGGTATCTCATAGCTTTAACTCCTACATTGTTGGCTTTTGTGGCTAGATAGGAGTTCAACATAATCATAGTGACACAATATAATAATGCAAAAACTTTGGGTATTCCAAACCCATCAGCTAGAGCAACCCATATGCAGAGAACTTCTCTCCTGTCCCATTTATGTTGAGATTTTCCAGGTTAGATGAAAAGCAGGATCAGGAATATGTGGAAGTGTATCAATTTTGTGCGTCGCTTATACAGGAGCAGGATTGTTGGTTTGAACTACCCAGCATCCTTGTTTATAGATTCACTTAGGAAGAGGGTCCCACATTCAAAACACTCTACATTGCATGTGTGAGAGAACAGTTGTTACTATGCTGTAGTATTTTTATATTTTTAATTTGTTCTTTCCTTCAGGTGTTCATTTTCATTTGTCTGGCTGGCACTTACTCTCTTTTTACTACATTTCTTTACCTCTTTTTAAAATAAATAGGTTTCTGTAGCTGTAATTCTAACCCCATTTTAATCATCTTTTTTTTTTAATGCATCCATTTTGAATGTGTTTTATTTTCTGCTTTGCTAATTTTTTTAAAAATTGCTGACCTGTCTTGTTTCCCTTGTGGCTGTTGCATTTTACTGTGGCAACTGAGTTTATGGCTTCTTTAAAAAAAATGTTTCTTAAGCCCAAGAATCGTGATGTTCCATTTGGGGGTTTTTTCAGTTGATTCTCAGGTGTTGAAATAGAAACAGTGAAAATAAGAGGGATTTTCTGTGCCATAAATAAACCCCCTCCCCCAAAAATAGAACTGTTGTATAAAGCATGATTGTTTCAGGAATTGTTCGTATCAGTTATCGGAGTTTCACACAGGGAGGGTTTTTACGATCTGAAATAGAACTACTGTATAACTACAATAAAGAGCATGGTTCTCAAAATCCAGTCTCAATGTTCTTAGTCTTCAGAGGGCGGTGCCTTTGCATTATGAGACCATGTGTTAATATAGCCATGCGCGGCCTTTGTTTTAAAATCTATCAAATTGCACAGGGCACAAATGTACTTAGTCTCATACTATGATGATGTTGGGAGAAATGGCACTGTTCTATTTGCTCATTTCCCTCCAGCCCCCTCGAGAAACACTCTCTAACTGTTCCTTACTTGGTAGAATTTTGCAAAGTGGTGTTATACCTTTTTACTAATAGAACAGATTGAGCTGGCTTGTTGCATTGGCCTAGCCTTCATGCAGACTAAGATGCACTTACAGGTTTTTTCCCTCATATTTTAGATGTCTAATGTAAGGACAGATTCTAATATCAATAATTTGTTTAGAACATGGGGAATATATTATGTGCCTAAATACAGTATTAAACAAAAGCTGTAGCAATGTGCACGTATTATGTGATGTTCTTTGAAATCCTAAATTCAGTTGCATACCAGTTTGTGGTTAAATGTATTGTCAAAATAAACTGCTGCTGCTTGCTGTTTTTTGTTAACTGGTTTACCATTTTGTGTGAGTAACATGTGGCTGGTCCATTGGCCTCATCTGCTGTACATTTTTAAATTGTTCCCAGTTGTTACATAGCTATATTTAGAACTTTTGTTAAAGTTAAGATCATCTTCCCAATCTCAGGAGCCTTTTGCCAATACTAATTTAACAATCTTGTCAATATTGGCCCATTACTCAGCAAATTCCCATGCATAACTTTTAATAGGCATGCTCAGTTAACATCTTGCTTAGTGTGTGATACTAACTTTTGTGAGTTGTCTGTGTTAAAAATCAATTTATTACAACACAACGTCACTAAAAAAAAAAAGTAATACGTTATTTGTCTCGGTGATTAAAGGCAGTGTGAATCAAAACCCTTTGCTTTTCTTTCCCAGATATGTTTAAAAAATGTATTTGATTATTTTGTGAAAGAAGGTTTAAAAATATTAGAGGGGAAATGCACGTCTAATCAAAATTCTTTTTCTTTTTTTAATATTTAAAACAACTGGAAATAGCAAAATCCTTTTAGAGGTCAAAACTTGGCATAATTTTTTCTTGTTTTTAATTAGGATAATTTTAGCATTGTTTAAGGCAAGGTCCAAATTATTCTCCTTTTGCAGTCAGTGGGACTGTCTTCTTCTAGCTAATTAGATACCCAGCTCCCACTCAGCTTCCTTTTGGAAAATCTTAGCCATATCTCAAGGCTCATTGAAGTCAATAAAAGGACTTCTGTTGGGCATTATGCTGGGCCCATAGTTTGCTCTGCTTACTAATTAAATGAAATGCTCTTCAACCTTAGCCTTTGATTTAAATTGAGAAGAAATTATCTGATCCTTTGGCATAGGGTTTGGCATGATTATGAGCCTATATTAGTTTCTTTTGAAGGTGTCTGATACCTATAAACCATGCTTAATAATTTTCTTATGTAATCTTTGTTAACTGTGAAAGGTGAAAATAGACTGGAAACGATAGCAAATAGACATGAATGGAAGATGGAGTTCAGTAGACAAATAATGCTTCTAATTTTAAGTAACTGTTGTTCATTCTTTTAAATTTGTACATTTTAAATAAGTATTTGGTTGTCCAGTTTAAAAAGTTTGGAACTGTTAATTATATCCGTGATATTTACTAGGGGACAGTGATTTGATTCATTGATTGAGATCACTGTCCCCGATTTGATTCAGCCAAATCTGAAGATTCGATACTGATTCAGAGAATCAGCGATTCGGCCATAGACACAGCTTTAAATGTTTTTTCTACATACCTCAAGGTACCAGGTGCAGCTCATGATTGCTGCAATGCTGGGGCAGATGGAGTGTCCACAGGGGAGTGGGGCAACGCATGCTTGGCAGCAGTCCTGGAAATGGACTGGAAGTACTTCTGGTCCACTTCTGGGTCCGCTGGGAAGCGTGCTGGAGGGCCCCCCTGCACCCCTCCAGCTCGGCGATTGGCTGCAGGGGAGGGGAGGGCCAGGTGCCCCCTCCCCTTCCCCCCCTCCCCAGACCCAGGAGGCACCAGTCACCGAGCCAGGGAGGCATGGGGGGGGCGGGTGCCCCAACATGCTTCCTCAGTGGACCCGGAAGTGGACTGGAAGTGCTTCTCGTCCACTTCTGGGTCTGCTGCCGAGTGCACTGGGGAGACCCACGCACTCCTGTGGGACGCTCCATGCGTCCCAGCATTCACGAGCTGCCCGGTACCCTGAGGTATGTAGAATAAACATTTAAAGGTGTCTCTATGTCCAAATCGATTCAGAGAGATTAAAGGGTCTCCTGATTTGATTCGGAGATTCAGCCACCGAATTGGGCCGAATCTCCGTCAGATTGAATCAGGGACTGAAGCTTTGCACAACCCTAATATTTATCCTTCAGAGCTTGTCTGTAGAAATGTAAGTTATTTTATATTTTAAGGAGTACTTCAGCTGAGGTCTCAATGCATACTTTTCTCTACAAAACCCTTTAAAAAGCTGTTCTTCAAGTTAAAAGTACAGACTTGACCTGAGCAGATGAAGGAAAATATATCAGAATTAGGGCTAATACTCCTGTATTAATCCCCCCCTGGTTTGCTGAGGCACTGCAGCATGCCAGGGCAAAATACAAGTCAGGAACTAGGGTCTTTCAACTCCTTTAGCAGCTTCCTTTCATTTATTGCCCCATATTTCAGTTATGTGATTTGATTTCATTTAACCTTGTTAGTCATAGGATGAATTCCTGTTCTTTTTCTGTGTGCTGAGTTTTTAACAATCATGCTAGAGCCACAGTTAGATGCATACAAATTAGCTGAATTATAAAATCTGTGGGGTGTGTATCCTGTGGCATACTTTTGAGTCACTTGCTGTTTTGAGCCGTGCTGTGAACTGCAAACTGTGCATGTGTGTAAAAAGGTTAAGACCCCATGTAGATGAGTTGGGTGCCATGCTGTTAGCAGACGAGGAGAGCAGTATTATCCATCAGGTGCACGCCGTCAGCTTTGTAGAAGATTCCATCTTCATGGAGTCATCTCTTGATCCACACTTATTTGAAGACAGGTAACAGTACCTTAACTGGAGTGATCTTGACCTTTTACCCCTTATACAATCCACATGACATCTAGTTTGGAACTTAGTTTGTAAAAATTAGTTGCAGAAAAACTAACATTTGCAAGAAATCCTGGATTTGTTCTGTTTCATAACTCTACAAGGAATTTTTAAATGAGAATAGAAATTTGGAGAGCAGCTGTGAGTGGTTGTTTGGACACAGAAGAACTTGTGCTTTTTTGGAGCATGTAATACTCTGCCCACAGATAATACCTGCAATATATGTTGTACTTTGAATGTCTGCAAAATAACATTTTAAGTGGGTTTTGTGTGTTGTGGTAACATGTAGCAAAATCACAATCTGTTTTATAAAGCAGCATGATAGCCCTTCGATTCACACTGTAAAGGCTGGCACTTCCACACATGGCAATATGAGCAGGCTATCTGTCCACTGCTTGTCCTGTAACTGCTTTTAAGCTTTACACCCAATAACCTGTTATTTTTAATACAGATCTAAAATGCATAAGCTAATAAAGGTCAGTTATGTTATGCAGATTCTTTTAAAAAGAAAGCAAAATGTAACACTCAGCTTGAGATTTAGTGTGCCTCGATTTAAGGCCATAATGGTAACCATTGCTTCAAAACTGTTTCTTCTGCTTTATGGTAAGCTGTCATACTTGAGGCTCTTTTAAAGATGGCTAGCAGTATTTAACTGAGCATGTTCACAAAGTTGTTGTGGTATTTGGGAGACTTGGGTCATTGGCTGTCTTCATTCTTATCATGCATCACCTGGCTTCTTTTTGTCTTCTAATCGCCTTCATTTGGTTTGTTACATCTTGTCTTTTTCTGTTGATGGTAGCACCACTGCCTGTTTCATTAGCATATAGTTCTCTCTAACAGTTTTCAGTTAGACACCTATTGCTCCTTCTGTGACTGTATGTTGGGGAGATTTGCAGACTGTTATGGTTCTAGCTTTTGGAAAACAGTTACTTGTCACTTTTTGCTGATACAAGACACCACTTCAAATAATTAGAAGTTCAACGTTTCTGGGGAGGTTTCTGGGGAAAATCAGAAAACTGTGAAGTAAGCCGATTTAAAGTATTATATGAATATTTCTCAGTCCTGGGTTATTTTCTCATTATGGATTTGTAATCATTATTCCCCCCTCATTCGCAGCAAACTAATGACTTACTCAAGCCCCCTTTATTTTCTTGCAAAATATTGTCTATTTGAATGGCACATAAAATGATGAAGGGCTGCAGACTAGGCCCCAGTTCTTTAAGAAAAGAACTAATGCAGCCATTTGTAAATTGTTTGCAATGCTACTTGTGTATTGCTGCCGTGTGACAAGTCTAATGATGAATTTCCAAAAGCAGATTTTTATTTATGAGACGACAAACATCGAATCTTTTGTCATGAAATTAATCTATTTTTTTTTATATTTTAAACTTCAGGCACATGACACAAGCAGACCTCAAGAGCTCCTCATTCTGGCTTCGAGCAAGTTTTGGTGCTACTGTATTTGCAGTTTTGGGCTTTGCTATGTACAAAGCATTATTAAAGCAGCGATGATTTGAAAAGAAGCACATCTCCTGGCCCTACCAAATAAAAATTAAAAACAAACAAACAAAAAAAAATCTTTTATGTACATTCTGAATGCTTTAAATTCTGGTAGAAATATTTATATATGCAGAGTTACTTTATTAATATTTGTAATTCATGCATAAAATTATTTTAAATGATAGCTATAACTACAGTATTGCATAATGTGTGGAGAAAGATTTGCGTCATAACAGCCAACTAAAATGGCTTAACTTGTTAAGGCCAAAAGGGAATTTGTTGTAAATAATCTGTATATATTAAGGCAGTAAGACATTGCTTCCCCAAAATGATTAGAAATACTGTTCTTAGGTGTTTCACCATAGTGACACTTTAGTGTACTATTGGAATTCATTTTCAATAGAGTAGGTTCAACTCAAGGACCATACGTGCTCAAGGATGGCTTATTTATTTCACATTCAACTGATGTTCTCTTTTGGGACTACAAGCTATACAAAGGCAGAATTTGTGGTTTTCTTTCTTGTCTTTTTTAACTGAAGAGCCAGTTTACCCACTGAACTACATTTCAAGGGAAAAAAATATCACTGGCAGACAGCCTAATGATTTTTGTATGTTACATGACATGTGACATGTTTAGCTGTCTAAGAGAGTTCTCTTTTAAAAGAAAAAGTAAACTTCAAAAACTGCCAGACTGACTTCCATATGCTGTGTGTAATTGTGTTGCTTCATTTTCCACTATGTTGTGTTTTTATAGCCCTTTCAAATCGGATGGAAAAGAATTTGTATATTATAAATGTTTATAATTCAAAAAGTGTTGCTGTTTAATTCCTCTCATCTGTAGATGATTCTTGTAAAAACTGTGTCTGGGGTAGAACTAAAATAGTACACAGTGCTTACTCTACTGTAGTATATTAGTTGCATGGTTCACAGTGCATTCTATACCTGGTTAGAATTACCTGTAGACAGCACCTTTTTTAATGATCAAGTAAATCAATATAAATTCCTCATAACAAACCTATTTTTTTCCGTCACCGGCCTTTTCAAGTATTTCAATAAATAACAGTGTACTGTCCTTTGTCTTGATATCTTTATTTTTTTTCTTGCCCTCCTCATTGAGAATACTATGGCAATGCTTTAAGATCCCATATTATAAACGTCTTGGACATGTTGGATCTTTGACTCGTGTCTCCAGTGACTTCTGTGTAATCTCTCCTGATTTTTCAAGGGAAAGCAATTTTCAAAGAACTTGTGGCCAATTCATACTTTCTCCATTACTAGCCATATTTTAATACATTTTCATTTGGCAGATGCAGGCAACCCCCGCTTAGCACTCTTAATTGGTTCCTGAAAAAACAAGCGTTAAGCGAAACCAAAAGTTTTTGATGACCCAAGATGGCGACCGCGAGCGTTATAATGAAATTCGCCGAGCACCAAGTGGAATCAGGTATCAATTTAAAAGGAACGTTATAGCGAAACAGTGCTAAGCGGGAGTTGCCTGTACATGAAAATGAGCTTCAAAGAATGTAATTACAGTAAGCATCTATTATTTACCATAACTACACTAAAATCCTCCTGTTCTATAGTCTGACTGCCTTAGCTGGATTCTGCTCTGGGTTGCATAAAAAATTGCATGGTAGAAGGACAGAAATATTTGGGCCTTAAGTTTCTTGTGTTTCCTTGCAAACAATTCCACTCTGAAATATAAGGGGAGAAGAAATAATTAATTTCTTGTTTTTTAGTGTTACCTTTAAATAGTTCTGAGAATATGAAAATGCATCATACAATGGAAGTGTGTTGAGATCTCTCTGGGGGAGAATTTGAGGGTTTTCTGACAAGTGCAAAACAGTGGGAGGAGGAAAAAGGGGATATTTTTAGGAAGTATTTGAAAGAATGCTTCTCTGTCCATGAAGCTGACCTCACCAGAGAAATGAGGAGAGAGAAGTAGCAAATGAGGAAGTTCACCTGTTCCACTTGGCATCAGAAGAGTCCTGACAAGCCCCTGACCCAGGGAATACTATTGCAATGGCTGTAGAAGATGATTTGATTTTTGAAAGCTTCTTGAAGAAAAGAAAAGATAAATTGGTTAGTACTTTTCCTGGAAAGATGTGGGGAGAGGGGGTAGAATAAATTCTTCCTAAATCTGATGGGAAAGGTATTATTAGAACTCTGGGGGGGAAGCCGTTCTGTTTGGTCTGTAGTCATCCAAAACAAAAGGAAGTTACATGTACAGTTAAGGCAACTACGTTTTTATGTTTTTAATTCTGTAATTATTCAGTAGGCTAGGAATTTCTTTGCCAATGCAACATTTCAAAATCTAATGTAAAGTGATTGCATATATTTCTTACTTTGATAATAGAATATGTCTATAAGGCTAAATTACTTTAGACAATTAAAGTAAGTTTATTGTTTTATTTGCATATGTTCAATACCACAGTAGCTTAAGCAGTAATTAAAACTGCTGCAGAATGTATTTTAGGAAAAAAAATTAACCAGTATACCCAATTCAGAGAATATCAATATTTTAAAATCCACAAAATGGTTATTGGGGTTCTGGTCTTTCCTGTAATTACAAATGTATTTAAGTATTTGTAATATTGGGATGTAGGATTGTAATTTTTAAAAAATACTGTGCTTTACAGTTGTCTAAACAATTCACTTATAAGAAGTACAATAATATGCATCAAAATACCATTTTCCATAATAGTAACAGACTTTTTCATGCTGTAATAGACTTTTATATTTTTATCAAGATACTTTTAAAAGAAACGAATTTTTGTATTGATAAAAAAAAAGGCCGAGAACAAAGTCTAATGTGTTCACTTCTTACTTTTCCCTTTTCAGCTGAATTAAATGGGGAGGGGACGGGAGAGATTGTGTAACTTTGACAGCTTCTTTATCTTTTTCTTTTTAAGAAAAGATTGCAGAGGTAACAAAAGCTGGAAAAAGTGAAACAGAGCTGATCTCTATCGTGGCTTATTCCATTTAATGAAGAATGTGGATCTGTCTGAATATACTTCAGAATAACTATTGATAAACTCTAAAAGGATGTCTAATTTCAGAGCACTTAAGCTCATGCTTAAATTCTGTAGATGTTGCTCAATGCTCAGTGTTGTCTACTAAGTATATTGAAATAATTTAAGTACTTTTTTGAATAGGAATGGATTTCATTCTGCACTTGAATTAAATTAAGCACACGTGTATATGCTGTTTCAGGTCCTAATTCTGTATCAGAATTAATTTTTCAATGTCCAGTTTTTTATTGTCTTCTAGGGCAGGATTGCTTTTCCATTCTCATACTTCCACTCCTTCCAAAGGAGGTACAGGCTCTGCAGAAGTCTGTGTAATAGCTACCTAAGGGAATAGGTGGTTTCAATTTGTAGTATCAAAATGCATTTCCTGACACCAATGTTCAATTGTCAGATTTGATTCATTTCTTGGGCAAGTGGCAGTACAGAGATCACCTGACCTCATTTATCCTTGATGTGTTTTGTCAGTTACAAACACTAATTTGCAGCTAGCAGGGTCTAATCGTCTTGGCCAAGGTAATGACAATGCTGCCAGTGAGTGTTAGAAACGGCTTTGTGGCAAGAACTTCTGCAGTCTATTCGTGCTTGTCTGTTGTTTCCCTGAGGTTGCAAACAGGTGTTGCATTTGTCCCAGGCGAAACTACTTTATCCTGGGACAAAGTGCAGTCGTTAAAAGGTCTATGTCATTTGTCCTGGACCAAACCCTTAAAAGGTTCATGGGATAAGAAATGCTAACAGTTTTACCTGGGACATTGCAAAGTGCATCTGAATAGTTGGTTTGGGATTGCATCATTGAGTCAATGGCAGAAAAGTAGTGCATTCAACTGCTCACTAAACCCTGTTTGGGAGAGAAATGTGTGAACATGCCAATCCCAGGACTTTTCTGTTCCAGGGCAAACACAGTCACAATTTGACCTAGGATAAATGCAATGTGTGTTCCTAGCTTGAATGATCTTTCATAACTGCTTAATTCTTATTTTAAATCATCTGTTTTTTAATCTCTCTGATATTGAGATGTTATTTTTGTAAGGTATTTGAGACCCTTACTAGAAAGCTGTGCGAGTGGAAAGTTTGTTTTTAAACTAAAATGCTGTGCAATGGGGAAAAAAGTGTGAAAAGGAATCAATTGGTAACCCAAAAAGGTTGTAGACCCTAGATTTCCAAGAGAGCTCATCACCCAGCAGTTCCCACTCATCTGGTCGTTTCTGGACATGATTTAGAGCAGCAACCTGTAGGTGTGAAGATAGTCATGTCTTTGTGCTAACTTGTGCAACCATCCAGTCTCCTCACAAATAAAAATGGTGGTGTTTATTGGCTACAGCATTTCTGCAAAGCTAGGAGCATCTCCTGATGAGGTTTAACCAGAAAACAACATACAGTATTTCACAGGGTTGTATCTTTGTTGGATAACTTTTGGCAAATTCATATAGCTCCATTTCCATTTAATTGCCTGGTAAAGCTCTCCTTGGTTTCCTGCCAGCGTGCTGCCATTCAGTTTCAAGGCAAGACCTTGAGCTTTATATGTAAAGAAATGTAGACTATAATATACAAAGGGGTCTAAGAGTTTAGTACCCAACTTCCATTAAATGTCAGTGGAAATTAATAGTCCTAGGAACCTTTGAAAATCTCATCTCTAAGGCCTTTGGTATTGAAGGCATGGGGGGAATGGGGAAAGAGAGAGAGAGAGACTCCATGCATGTGTATGAAATAACTAGTTTGTGTTTCTACAAATGTCTTTCTCAAGTTATTATACAAACCAGTCCTCTCCCTACCCCTTTTACAGGTAGGTTACCTAAGAGCCATAGTATTCATGGTCCCATAGCAAGTTGATATTAGAGCCTGGAATGCGTTGAAGTATTTTATGCCATTAACGTAAATATTCTAACATTTGCCCTGATTTTTAAATAGAAATTGACATGGACAAAGTACTGGTTCCGACTCCAAAATACCACCCTCTTCTTCTTCACTAAGAAACATGGAGATGCAGTAGGTTTTATAATTTACTTTTCCCCCTACTGATGTAGACTTTTTCCACCAGTAATTAGTGTAACATTCTTTTCCAGTCGTACCTCCGTGGACAGTACTCCATCCACACAGTAAGTAAAACCAGTGATTGCCCACATGCCAAGCTGAGAAGTGTCAGAAGTGCTTCGTGTATTTTATTTTATTTTTTTTTTTTTTTTGAGAGAGAGACCCTCCTGGGAACCATCTGGCAAAGAATTCCCTATAATTCAAAGCAGTACTTTCTGCATTTGGTTTCTTGTTCCAAAACATAAATGAAGGAATGAACCTTGTAGTGAATACTACTCAGATAGTGTAAAGCTGTCCTGGCTACAATTGCTGTATGCTTCTTTACAGTAAAGCATCTTGTCCATCTCTGCATTGACCCTGCTGGCCAGTACACACATAGCTTTAGCCACATGTCAAGCCAAGCGCCTTTAGTCCTCAGGCTGGAGAAATGGTTGGTAACATAAGGTTTCAGGATGTCTTACTGCCTCCTGTTACCAAATACCAGAGCCCATCTTGCACACCCACTAAGTCTGACACCAAGCTTGCAGGATTGTATTTGCACAGAATACTGTAACTTCTACTTCACAGGCATAGCAGGCTACAATGAAGACTGATCTTTGCAGGATTCCTAGTCTTAGAGTAACCAAACGGGTCAAGATGTAATGGCCAAATCTGAGCTGTGACTGCAGGCAGTGAAAATATGCCAGTTAATTCTGTCTGAAGGTCTGGCCCAATATACATTCATACAGTTTCCTCTCCCAGGAATAAGCTCCGTTTCTTAAATAGAAATGCTAAGGGCATTTTTAGAAAGTTTGTGTGTATTGGCAGATGTTTTTCTTCATGGCAAATGTCTTTTTAGATGAAGGCGGTGTGTGAGACCCAAGCTATGAATGTTGATTACCGCTTTAAAATCATAATGAAAAACGGGAAGAAGAAACTCTTGGTAAGAATATAGTATCAGTCCAACAAATATATAGCATCAGTGAAGTACAGTAGGATTGTCCCCACTTAATCAAATCAATTCTTGCTCACATCCAATGTTGAGTCAGAGAAGAATATTATACGCACTATACCACAGTGTAATAGCTGAGGATGGGTAGGCCAGTGGTTGAGTAGTGCTGGGCTGTTGTTCGTCTTCCTCTGGAGTAGGGTGTGTCTAATGAGAAGCCGATGGGGAGTTTCCACTGATTGCAAGAGCTAATGGATTCTGCTAGCACTCAGTCTTTTTTCCATGCCCCCAAAGTATTTTTTAAATACAAGTGTGGTGCTGGTGATGGTGGAAGCCAAAGACATGACAGCAGTTGTTACACACGCCTCTTCCAAAAACGGCCATTCTGTGGGCATGTGTGGTATAAGCTTCCCCACCTTGCCCTGTCAACATGCTTCAACTTCCATGTGGAAGAATATGGTGCCCATTAAGTGATTGCAGTTCAGTTCATAAGTTCATTTGGTCATAGGCCTGAATAATTTTGCATGGCATCAAAGTTGATCCTTTCTGAAGTATCTATGCCATTAATCCATTTGGGGTACTGGGTCCTCAGTCCTCTGCTACATTCACCTGTACTGGGACTTACAACTTTTCATTAGTTCTCAAGTCACTTCTTCCTTTTGATGGCTATTTCTAACCATTTGTAATAGGCCCCTGAGTTTTCTTTACTATGCTGCATGACCCATTTTGGAGTCTGGGCTGCTGAAATCATTCCTCCCCAAGTCTTGTGCACTCTAGCAGTTAGCATAAGTCCAAGCCATGTTGCTCTATTGTAATTCTGTCCAACGATACCCAGGAAACAGAGATGCAAGACTGAGTCACACCACATTTGAGAGAAAATGGCAGTGGGAATCTTTCCATTGTCTTCAATGGACTTTGAATTGGTTTCATAGTTTTCTGTTCAATTTCTTCTGTCCAGCATATATCCCTAGCTCTATTGTAAAGACAAAATAAGAAAAAAGAGCAGTAGTCTGGTGATGAAAAATAATTATAAAAGCTTGGTGAAATGAACATGCATCAATAATATATATATGCTCTGTTAACTTTTTGTTCTGGGTAAATGTCCTTAATTACTGGGTTTTTTTTGGCCAGTCTGCAGAATCTGCTGATTTACGTGCTACCTGGATTAAAGTCTTGTGGAGATCAATGCATCTTCTGGGGCCTGATGGAGAAGAGACAGCTTGCATGTGGTAAGTTTTGTACTGCAGACGCATTGAAATGCAGTTGCTTGTGATTGTCTCTCTTGAGAGTGTGTGACTCTCGGCTTGCCAAGACCCTATAGCTTTCAGGCAAGTAGGCCTAGGTAGTATAGGAAAACTTTAGACTGCATAATTTGAGTAGCTTGCTTCCACATCCTTTGATGCAAGAGGAACTTTTTGTTTCAATGTGCCAGCTGTTAAGGAGGCAGTGTAACTTGCTTTAATTAAAAGTAGCTTTTTAGATCAGTTGATCCATGATATAGTGAAAAAACATGCTCTTGATTTCTCGGTTATTGCTGAAAGCCAGCCTTTGGGGAATCTTGATTTTGGTACTGCTTATAGAAAGTTGTTTTTTCTAGTTGGACAATATTTGTCCTCCCTTTGAGGTGGGCTGTCTTCTGCCCTCCATAAAATCAAGGGATTTTCTTCTTCATGAAGAGTTGTTGAGATGATGACCCAGGCCAGAACTGCTCATCATTGCATTTTTATACTATTTTTATCAAACTCGTATCACCAAAATGCAAAAGTGTCATCCTTATCTGAAACCTAAAGAGCATGTTACATATAACCTCTGAGAGCCATCAGTTACTGTGTCTTTTGTCCTGTTTGTTCTTTTATTAGTTATGATGTACCTGTTGTGATGGCAAGAACTCAAATTATTACAGATGGTAAAAAAGAAAGTCTCTATGACACCATACTGTGTGCTGAGAGCTTTGGTGAAACATCCAGAACTAATAACTTTTTAGTATCAGAGGAGACCATGAAAACTAGATATGGACATACTTCAAGTGAGTTCTTTCATATTTGTAACTGGAATTTTGGATTTAATTTAAAAAAAGCTATAGATTTCTTAGAAGGAGAAGAGGTCCTGGTTAGGGTGTTCTGGGTTTTATTGCTGATAAATTCCTCTTATCTCTGAGGATTTGGAGACTTGTCAACCTACAGGTTTCAGCTGGGGAATCTTGAGGACTAAGGAGTGCTGTGGGGAGCCTGTTGTTTCAGAGTTGCTGTTAGCAGTTTGGTTCCAACACATTAAGTTCAGTGCATCAGATTTCTGTTTACAGTGACTTAGATTTGTCAAGCACCTTTCATCCAGCTATCACAAAGCAGTTCAGATAGCGATTCATCCTCTTTGTCAGCATCATTCTATCCATTTTGCAGAAAGGGAAGAAGAGGCACTGAGGAGTTCTGACCTCCCCAGAGTCGCAGAGGAGTTATGGCAAATTGAAAATAAAACCCAAGTGTTGTGACTTTTAGACCCTATTGGAGCTGTGGCTTTAGAAATATATCTAAATCCAGTGTCACTTCATTAACAAAGGCTGCTTGATATTTATCTTTTGTTTCTCTTTTCTCTTGAAGATTATAATGAAAGGAGCTCACCTCATTACAGAGCTCCAAAAATGGAGCCTTTGGAGGACAACCCTGACAATGAGACCAGTGAGTAGAGAATATGATATTTACTCTGTCACTGTGGGGTGAGATCTTGATATATCTTTAACTCTGAAAGAACAGAATCATGGGTAGCCCCATGTTTGGAGCTGAACGTAGAGTTTCCTAAAGTTCAGGAGTATGTTTAGGTATAAGCTTTGAGTTCAGGATAGTCTCTACATCACAAGACTCTACAGGGCTTTCATCCCATAAGCTATCATTTAGAACATGACCACGTGGATAAATGCTTGGGATACTCTTGCTGCCACAAGTGACTGTTAACACTTAAGGCTTCAATTACGGTGTGCTTTTACGAACTCTGTAGAAATCAGTAGAAGGGGTGATGGCACTGCTGCCAGCAGTTTATTTTTCACTTGCTTTACAGATCACAACTCTAATAAAGATGAAACTTCTGTTATTTATGACATTCCACGTTCCAGGAGGAAGGAAATCAAAGCTAGTAATGATACAGGTGAGTAAACAACTTGTGGCTCAGACAGCTGAAGAAGAATATCATGTGGGTGGTTTTATTTTAACAAGAATCATGTTCACAGCTATCCGAGGGTTTTTTAAGAGTACTCCACAGTTTGGTAGCCATCAACTTTGCCACAGAAATCACCCCTGCTGTGGAATTATATTCCAGAATATGTTTCCTTTTAAAGGAGAATTTATGTGTCTAATCCTCAAGACTGTGAAAACCCCATGAGTTTCCTGAATCTGCAGCCAGCCAGCATCCACTGTTGAGAAGTGCGAAAATGCCCTTTTTGCCTCAGTATTTACTCTGAGACCCAGTGATGAAAATTCGATTGTCCCTATTATTTTCTATTTCATCACTGACCATTTGAACACAACCATTTTGCTAATAGAGGTGTCCCACAACCCCACAGTGCCACTCTCGGGCTCACCAATGCTGAAGTCTGCATCATGCCTTGCCTCACTCAGAGAGCCTGCAGGTTCCTCCCTGCAACTTGCACAGAAACTATGCACTGTCAGTGCAGAAGCTCTAATGTACCCAAACCAGAAAATGTCATGGCAGCCTGGATTAAAATGAGCAGAAACATCATGTACTGGGGACTGCTGGGAGTATGTATTGTCCTACTAAATTTGGTTAAAAAAAAAAACAAATCCCAAAAACTCTCCACTTTTTATGCTTGTTTGAAACTGCTACAGAATTTCTTGCCTTCTGCTTTTGGAGGTTGCAAACACGGATTCATGCAATCAAGGCAAGACCCGTCTTTGTAGTAGCCCCTGCCTATAGCAGAATAGTGTGCGTTGCACTTCTTTGCTCAAGAATACCTTTGGCTGGTAAAGCATCAGCACTGATGCTGGCTAGAGGACAGTAATTTCTCCCATGCTGGATGGAAGAAAGAATGGTTAAGGTAGTTTTAAGAGCAACAAAGAGCTATATGTATATCAAACCAGCCCTTCAGTACATCTCGGAAGTCCTTTTTAGTTTAAAAAGAAGGGGTCTTGTCTTGTATTTCTCATCTCCTGTGTATGTTGCATGCTTGGCTGTTAAGGCACTGCAAGACACTATCCATGTAGAACTGGCTACATGCTGCTGATCTTGCAGTTACCATTGGAGAGAGGGCTTGGATAGTTGCATGTACTGAACCTTCCTCTGATTGGGTCATGTCACTTTCTGTTATTAGGGAAAATCAGCGGAGATGCTAAAGAAGAGCCTGGAACAGTTGTTTGGGCTTTCTCCTGATGCGCTGTATGAACAGAGTGATCCATAGCTTGATGCCAGCAGTATCACCTCAGAGAGGAAGAATTTGTGTCCTAAAGTCTTCAGAAGAAACTGTTGGCTGCTAGGAAAGAAAAACCAGTTAATCTTAAACGAGCTTCTGTCCCTTCATCCATCCTTGGCAATGTTCCATTCCAGAAGTCCTCTTTTGGCAAAGCTGGCCAAGTAGTTGCCTTGCTTTCCACAAGAAGTTTCCAATCTTGGATTGCTGTTGCTGTTCAGGTGTTTGCTCCCTGTTTGGGTGAATATTTTGGTATTAATTGAATGTGCCTTATACAGATTTTTTGACGAGCATTAAAAGATAACATGTGTTTCCATGGTAACAACTGAATATAGCTTCTTGAAATACCTGACCTGCTATTCCTGGCACCTGAGCTCCTGCAGAAAGAAACAAGTGCTCAGTTATAACTCATTGCTACTTGTGAGGAATGTTATATTGAGGGGCAGAAGACCCTGAAAGCATCCAGGTAATTGCAGTTATGAACCTCACTCACATGGATAGAGAGAGTGACAGTGGCAGTCTTCAAATCTGGTAGGATGCTTTCTTAAAGTACAGCTGAGCATTGATATAGCAAAGGAGATATACAGACAGCACCATTGACCAGATTGTCAGCTGGTGTAGACAGACTAACCTTCATTGACTTCCATTCAGTCAGTGGAACTAGGCCAGTTGATGCCAGCAGTGGCTCTCGTCTCTTCCAGCACCAGACAAACAATCCAGACAAGTGCATGTAATACTAATGGAGTGTGAAAGGCTTTTAACCTGTGAAGACCTGAACTGCCAGCTCTCTGTTACTGTGTTGTTAACATCTTTGTGACATCCTCAACATGGCTTCCTGTACTCTGGTCCTGTCAGGTAATTCAAGACCAATTAGCTGAAAATCTCAGCTGTACACAGACTGCTTATTTTAATGCAACTCATGTTAGTTGGTAGTGCCCACCTGGGTGACAAGCCTTACTGAAAAAGGACAGATATTGAAGGGGGAAGGAGTGCAGTGTCTTCTTGTTTTTTCCTTTTGTGGCTTCTTGCTGATAAAGTTCCTGATGTTGCAGTACCTCTGCTTTAATATGCCTTGTGTCTTCTGCTTGCATTTATGACCTTTCTTGTTCTGCTCTCAGACAACATAGTGAATTAGATTCTCCCCTTAGGGCTGATGTGTTATATCCTCTTCTTCAGGATACAAGTAAGTACAGGCTTGCACATTATTCGTATGTAGAGATAGAATCACTTTGGTGCAGCTTCTGACTTGAGAGAGTGCATCATTGTGTTGTTGCTAGGACAAATGGAACTAGGTTCAGATGCCTGGTCACAAGGCTTCATGGACCATTTGAGGCTGGACTCTTATGAAAATACTTGGCCACTCCTTGGTGTGCTTCTGGGCCAGTGCAGTGAAGCACAGGTCCTTCCTCAGGGCTAATGATAACACCACAATCTAGCCTTCGGACCTGAAATGTGCAGGCTCACTTTGTTGAAGAAGGGCCAGCTTTGGTCTAAGGAACTGCCGCCATTTGGATTCTACTTTTACAGGTAGAGGGAAAACTAACCCACACAATACACACAGCCTGTGCACTCCCAGTTCAAATTTCTTCCTCCCACCACTACCATCTCCCCACAGTGCTTCTCCCCTGGGGTGGGGGAGGAGGTAAGTCTCCAGGTCCCATTTGATCTTTGCTTTGACCCCCTGGACTGTGAAGCAAGCTGCTAAAGTGATGTGGGCATTGGAGACAAGTGAGAACAGGAATGCATCTTACCTCGGCCAGCAAACAGCACTCAGGTTAGTTTACAGGCTTTGACAATATCTAGCTGGAAGAGTTGTTGGAGGAACCTGAAATAAGAGCATGTGAAAGCTGCCCTTCCCTCTGCTTGGTGGAATTTAAGGTAGGGGCTTCATCAAAGGGCAATAACTTGTAACAGGTATTACATCCTATTGCATTTACAGGCCCTCCTAATGTACTTGGCAGCCCAGAAATGTGTCTGAGTTAGTCCAATGAGAGGGTATTTTCCTTTAAGGTCGAGTTTGTTGTGGGTGTCATAGGTCAGATTCTGATCTTAGCTATGTTGGTGTAAAGCTGGCATAATCCAGTAACTGAGACTTATCTTTTTATCTTCCCCATGATGTAAATCTGAAACTGCCTGGCTGTTTCAAGGTAACCAGGTTGTAGCCATATTGGTCTACAGGAAAAAGCAATCAGAGCTCATGGGAGAGGTGATACCTTTTATTAGACCAGCAAGGTTTTTGCAAAAAAATTAAATAAATTTGTTTGCAAAAATCTTGCTGGTCTAATAAAAGATATCCCCTCTCCCACGAGCCCTGATGGCTGTTTCAAAGCTTATATGCTTAGGAATGGCAGTTTGTGCCACTAGAGGGCAGCATAGCTTCAAGACCTCAGTTTCCCTAAATTTACTTTCCAGTCCAACCTTGGCAGAGCAGCACATGACCTCGCGTACCGCAGTGTTTCCAGAGACTGATTTTAATGGTGCATTCTTACGCAGAGTGCGGGTGCTTGAGGTAGGTTTTTTTTCCCCTCAGCTTTCTATTTGAGCAGCTGGCTTTATTTCAAGGAGACCAGGTGAACCTTGTAGAACAGAAGTACGAAATCAGGGCAAAGCAGACTCATCAGTTTCAGTGAACTGTATCAAACTGCTTACTGGGGACATACACTGCCTCATCTTAAGAAAATACCTTAACCTGCAGCGTAATGCGCTAATCGGTGCATGTCGACATTCAGTAATTGCCCTTGAGAGTGGAGAGGGTTTGAGCTGGAGGGAGCTGTGCGGGGATTTCCCTGTCTTTTACTCCTCAGCATTGGGACGTTGCTAAACCAGCCCTGGCAGGAACACCACTTATACCTGGCTTTCCAAGATGCTTGTGCTGACCAGCTTGGTTTTGTTTTTGGATGCAGGTCTGTTGTAGCACATTTGTACGCATCTAGGTGCAGCTCTCGATGCTTGCATGTACATGCATGTGCATACACCAGGACTGGCAGTTCGCATGGGTTTTGCTTAAAGCCCCGGCTCCTTGGATCCTGTAAAAAAGCCCTTATTAAAAATATAGCTTTAAACTTTCATGGTTCCAAGGAAATCTTGGTAACAGAACTCAAGGCTCAAAACTCAAATGGTGTTTTTAAGCATTTCTTAAATTCTCACTGTTTTTAAGACAGCCTTATGTTTCACATGTGCCTGGGTTTGGCAGTACTCGCAGCCACATGAAGCTTGTCCTAGCTGCTCTCTGTGCACATGACTCAGCTCTTGCACAGAGATGTTAATAGACACTTATCCAGGCACCTAGAACAGACATTGGGGAAATTCCAGGTATTGCAAACCCAGGGAAGAGTTAGTACATTTGAAATGAGATTTCTCCCTTCTCTTCTCCTCCTCTACTGGGAAGAAAATGTTGTTCTAGTGGAGCATCTGGCAACTTTGCCATATTTGTCAGAGATCCTGCCAGTTCTCTGATTTACGGCCCATTCTGCTCTTTTGCAAATTGCTGCAGATGGGAGGAAGTGTTGTTGTAAAACCCTACTGAAGCATTACTGTTTCTCAGCATCCATGCAAATCACGCCAATCAGTGGTTTAGCAGTACAAAGCAATGTTATGCATTTAATTTTCTTCCGCCTTTAGTGCTGCAGTCCGGAGTCGTGCGCCAGCGTTTTGTTCCAGCTCTTTGCTATCAGTGTTTCAATTAATGGTAGTGCTCAAAGAAAGAAACATAGAAATGAATTTTGAATCTGAATGAAACTTCCAGAGCAGGAAGGGAGGCTGAGGAGATTCTTTTCAAAAACAAGATGCCCTTCACAGTGGGAAGGGAGGTTGGCAACTTATCTTTTCACTGGACCTGGATTGCTCTCTTAGGATTAACAATAGGCAGAGCTGCTGGAGCTGTGAAAAGATCATGAGCTGGGAACAGAGCTACAGCCAGACTCCTGCTTCCCAGACTGCGTGGACCTTTGCCCTCTCACCAATTAGGCACAATCCACTTAGTCAGGCAAGAAAGAACAGAATGGCAGAAAAAAGAAACAGAGCTGGAAAATATTCATGCTAAGGAAAGGATCTTCTCTCTTCCTTAACCCCTCCCCACCCCACAGCCCTTTTAAACATCTGGAGTTTTCGACATTTCAGATTTCCCATTTTCCATCGGTTTTTGTTTTAGATTCGGTCTTTGGCAAGCATGTTGCTGTGACCACAAGAGGTACTGCTGAGAGGATCCTGTGGAAGTTTTCACGGGAGCTGTGTGTTTGGAGCGGTGAAGGAATTCAGGCCTTGAGAGGGCAAGAAATGCTCCAGCATGTTTTTAGACCTAAATGCGATTTTTGATTTTAGTATTACTCCTGGAGCTCCTTGGAATATAATCTTTTAAAGAAAATGTTTGCTGCCTTGCCACTTCTTTCCTGCCACTTCTTATGATATCAGCTGCTGACACAGAGCCCTGCTTGATTTATGTTTCATGTTTCATTGCCATCATGTCTCCCAACTGGCAAACATTTTGCCTGATAGCTGATTGCAGTAAAGCAAAACTAGGGAAATCTTGCATCTGCTTTGGAAGGAAGAAACTCTATTATTGAGATGCCATTGCAGTAAAAAGTCCTTCCAAAATAAGTAAAGCAATGTTCAATCTAAGGCATCTGACAGAGAGAGAACTGAGCAATGTTCCCAGCCAGTAAATCCCAGTTTAATCATCATTCTCATGTTTTAACTAACAGAAAGTTCAGCTTCACTCAGGCCCATGAAGCAGGGTCAGCTCCATCCCTTTGCATTTACCTTTCAGGCTTAATTGCCTAATGTTCTATCTTCTGTGTATAAGACTTGCTAATGTTAAATTCGGCATGAGTCATGTAAAAACAGACCATCTAGGAAGAAGTTTCTAAGACTTGCCAGCATGAACAGGATTCTCAGCAGATGGTATTGAAAGAGTAGCAGGAAAAACCCAGCTAAAAACAGTCACAGGGAAGTGAGGGGTAGCAGACAGTTGGGTGCCCTCTGTGTTTGAGTCCATTGATGGGCTACCTTGCTTTTGTGGAAGTTCTCATAGGACCCAAATGGACCAGAGAGGTGTGAGTCTGGTTTCCATTTAGATTCATTCCCCTCCCACCCCCATAGAAACACCTGATTCATACATTCTGATTCACTTCTTTGGTCCTAAGCATATTTTTAAGTTTGACGAAGGAGAGGAGGAGCTTCTCAGCAATGGACAGACAGATTTATAGTCAGTTAAATGTCTGGGAGGAAAGGATTTCCTGCTCCCCATTCCCCCACCTCCCCATCACTCAATCTGTGCTAAGTTGTTGTGTATGTTCTGCTTTATCCCACGTTATGTGGAAGTTAATTTGTAGTAATTAAGTAATTGTTTCATCAGGGTAAAATGCCTCAAGTTACTGCAGGGTAGAGCAGATGTACCATGAGTCCCCTCTACTTTAACTTGGCATTATCTGTTCATCTTTCTGTTCCCCCTTCAGTTTCTGACACCAGATCATTAGATCAATCCTTTGCTCATGGGGGTAATGTTCATCAGCTGCCAATGTCTGATAGGTGTTGGTGGTCTCTGGGATTGGGGTAGTGTTCCTAGGGGACGGGTGTCCATATCCAGTTGTCATGAACTGACCTGTGTGGCCAGGGGAGCAGTGGTTGAATTGGCATGGAGAAGGAAAGATACTTTCCCCCTGAAGGGACCTCACACGTCCTTCTCACGCAGGGTTGGTGCTCCTGTATAGACCTCTGGGTCCTATATACCCTTTAAGAAATCAGACTCTGCCAGGAGCCTGGCTGTTAGCTAATTACCAAAAAAGAAAATATGAAATGTGCTGGTTGTTGCTACAGGCTCTCTGGTTTCTGTGCCTTTCCCAGCTACCTGACACCTTGCTCAGGGCTTATTTTTCAGGTCATCAGTGCCTGGGAGTCTCCTGCGTTCTCAGTAATATTAGTGCTGTTTCTGTCAGTAGATATTTCCCTGCCATCCATTTTCCCTGTCTCTTGCAGGCTGAAGTGCATC